CAGCAAGACGCCTGAGGACGTTGAGCCATTTTAAGCAACGATTGCTAACATTTTCCATGTGGCTTGGAAGGTTAGACGTGAGTATAGTGTTATTCCCAGAAATTTGTGGTACTTGTGGAATGGTATAGACATACTTCAAATCTGTGGAGAGACTGCAAGTGACGGTAAGGGAACTTGTTTGAAATTGAATATGGCGATCTTTGGAGCGGAGAAAGACGAGCCCCATTCTGAGCAGAAATTCACACATTGATCGGATGTTGTTTTTTTGTTAAGCTGAAAAAGACTCTTGACAGTCTCTGCGTGAATTCCATATAGCAAGGTCGTCAACAAACAGCGAATACGGGATCCATTCTAGGGCGTTGAGGAGTGTGAGAAAAACATCATTGATCATCATCAACAGAAGAGACAGCGTTGGACAAATGCTATTACCCTGTGGAACACCACGATCCATACAGTTTAAGTCATATATCGTGGATTAGCAGCGTACATTGAAGCAATGAGCCGTAACAAATCACCAAGAAAATAGGCTAAGTGGTCCCTACGGCCAAGAGCATGCAACTTGCCGGTAGCGGTGTCGCGATGAACTTCGTTGAATGCTGGCGTGAGGTCAAGAAACACAGCGACGGTTGGATGCTGACGATTCCAGTTGGCCTGTATATCTGTAGTGACACGTAGAATGTTTTCTGCTGTACCATGGTTAATTTGGAATCCACCTTGGAAGGCGTCTAATAGCTGATTTGTTTGCAGGAACCATCGCGGGCGCATACTGACCATGTGTTTCACAAGCTTACATGCACAGTTCGTGAGCGATATTGGACGGTGTGAGTTCGCGGACGGCCTATCTTTGCCGGGCTTCAGGATTGGAATGACCGCGCCTTGGAGCCATGTGTCTTGGAAGGTGTGATTGGTCCAGAGATTGTAGATAGCGAATAGAAATGTTGGCAAGTTTACAGGAGATAGATTGGTGAAAACGACTAAAGTAGTCGGTATAAGCCAACCGAAGTTTTGTCACCGCATTTGGTCAGGGACAGTTCAAGTTCACACATGGTAAAAGAAGCATTATAGGCTTCATAGTGATCAGGGGTAGACTCGAGGGTGGGAGCTCTGTCAGTTAAACACCGGTTAACGCTGGGGGAGTAGATGTTTGAGGAGAGCACAGAGGCAAAGTGTTGCGCAAATGTGTTGGCGAACTCATGTGGATCGTTAACAACGTCGTTTCCTCTCGCAAACTGCGGGAAAGCAGACACATAATGTTGGCGAGAGGCAAACGAGCGGACATATTCTCAAGTTTCACCTAAAGGCATAAAGCAATTGTACGCCGAATCAAAATCCCGCCACGCCCCAATTGCTTTTCGCGACACAACGTGTCAGAACACGCCTTGCGCGCTCTTGTATGTAGTTCTGCGTGATGGGTGCAAATGCATTTTTGAAAATCTCTAAGCGCCCTGCGTCGAAGTGGCCTTGCCTGTCGACAGCACCAGTTCCGTGGCGGCTGTGTGGACGGCATTGAGGAGATCCGGTATGATTGCTCTTAAATCATATGGAGCATGTCGAGTGACACAGTTATTAAAGGCTACCCAGCCACGAACATTTACATACCATTTATTTGTTAAAGGCGGAGACTGGAGTGGAGTCGCACGCGTAAAAATGGGATGGAGAAGAAAGAGGTCAGAAAACAAGAGGTCAGTCGTCACAGTCTTAAGGGAGCGACACGGGTGACGCAATGGGCAAGTCTATGGCTGAGGTGGTGTGGTAACTGGAACCCATAAACGTGTGTGTTCTATCATTGAGGCATACCAGAAAATCTAGGTTTAGCACGGTTTCCACTTGATATATCCGTAGAGACAAATGTTGGCTTACCCAGAGCGGGTTTTTGGCGTTAAAGTCACCAAGTATCAGGCAATTGACAGACATTTGTGAGAATAACTCGTCAAGAGTGGACCTGTTGTGAGCACGCCCAGCCGGCCCGGCGGCACAGAATGCCGTCCCTGCCGTGTCGCGGTGCGGCCTCGGTCGCGCGGTGGAATGCGGCCTACCGCCGCGGGCGCTGACCGCCGTCCCGTGGCGGACCGCACGGGACGCGTGATGGGTGCGTGTATGCAAGCTGACTTATCGAGTGTTAGTTCACCCGAACTAAATGTTATGTCGTGTCTGCCTGGGATAGCAGGGGCAGGACGCCACTGGACTCGGTCCGATACGGATCGCCGCGTCGCTACACGTCTTTCTCTGACCGAGCTGAGCCGAAACGCTGGACGAAGACATCACAGTGTAATGATCGAGAGTTGGGAGGCAGATATGCGGACAATATGAAGACATTGGAAAAGTTTCGCAGCAACCGGCACAACGTTAAGCTGAGTTCGAAGAAAGGTCTGTCGCTAGACAACCGAATTCGGTACATTCGGTACAATTCCGCCACGCCGCACTGTCGCGTTTCAGAATTTATCTTATTGTGATAGAGTATATCCGGCAACATTTAAGTTGTACGGATCTGAAACACGATAAAAGTTTCCTGCAGTGCAGCGACCAGGGGAGAACATTTCTTCAGATCTGTTTAAATTAAGTGCAACGCGACAAAAGACCTCCAACATCCTATTGAAGTGAGGACGTGATTTTTTGTGATATACCGCGGGTCTGGTTAAAAGATGGCAAGAGAGGAGGGCCCTGGAATAAACGCACTCCTCAGTGTTGGCTGCGTGCAATGCCCACGGTTCGCGTCCTCTGGGCTGATGCCTTACGCAAGCGGAAGTTTCGTCGCTGTACAGGACGCGTGGGAGGAGAGTCGAATTCTGTCTCCGGGCATGACGTCCGTGGAGATCTGACGGCCCGGGAAGAAGGAGCGGTCTCGATATTGTCATGTGAGCACGCTGGGATGGAATCATCCGAGTCAGCCTCCGACACGATCTGGCTGGGGTGGTCTGCTGACGCTGGTGACCCAGGCTCACCTCGCGTCATAGTATCGAGTCAGTGGGCTCCTGGCACGAGCCAGTGTGACCGCTGCCACTGCGGAATCTGTCGAAAGAGGACGCCTTGTACTCTCCAGACCACTCTTATCCCCTGTAACCGCTGCTACCTGAGATGAAGACTGAATGACGGCGTTAACGCCGCCTACGCTCGGTGAGGGTGTTTCTCTCGGGCCAGCTCGGGGTGACGGTTAACTTGTGGATGCAGGTGGTGGCGGGGTTTTCAGCAGGCCGCTTTTAGCGCTGGTGGGCGGTGGTGCTCTGGACGGCGGCCTACTGCCTGTCATGCGCGGTGGTGGCGGTCCCCATGTACCGCTCCCAACTGCGGGTAGCGTCCCTGCCGGAGGTGGCTGTTGGCGGTTCATGCGAGGGGTGGGTGGGTTCCTAGTGGGTCACACGCAGCTTGCTGCGCTGGGAGTGCCGGCCACTCCTCCAGCCCAAACCCAGGAGGGGTCACCCGGGGCGCTGCGGCTCGCAGCCTCTAACGTTTCTCGTTCCGGACCGGGCACGCAGGATCGGTCACCGGGTGCGGGCCCTGACGTGCCGCGCAGCGTGGGGGGGGGGGGGGGGGCCGCGTATCCCTCGGAAGGGTGCTCCCCGGCACACCGTGCACATCTCTGCGGGCGAGTCCTGCACATGCCCCTGACAATACCATATCGTACACTGACTACAGCGGCGGGGCGGCGGGGGGGTGTACGGGCCAACCTCATACCGTGTGTAGGCTGCGTACTGATGCGCGGGGAGTCGCAGCCGTCCGAAGCGGGCCTTAAGCAGGGGGTTGGGGCGCGCAGTTCTCGATTGGAAACGGGTCACTGCCGTTACTCCCCGAAACGCGCTCTCAACCAGGATTTCCCTCGCAGCGTCCCCCGCCAAGCCCGGGGAGCAGACCAACACTTTCACCTGGTGTAGGTTGTCCGCTGAGGTGACCCGCACCTCTCGGGCCCTTAATATGGTCATGTCAAGTGGGCTCTAGTTTGACCTACGTCCGTGGTCTTCAGGAGGGCGCCGCTCCTCACTGCCGTGGCCTGAGCTACACAGATCGTGAATTTCGTCCCGGATCTTGTAGGGGATGACGTTCCTGGAGTACTCAGTGGGACAACAGAGTCCTACCAGGGGGGACGCCGCCCCCGTCGGAATCCAACTACATTCCGCTGTCGCAGAAGATGCGTTGTCCTTGGCCAGCACCGATGACTCCGCCCACTCCGTTGTTGCCCTGGGTTACGAAGTAACGCGCGCGACGGAACGCAACGGGCGAGTGTCGGTGTACAAAAACACTTGGGTAGAAAAGGAAAAGCACGCGGAACTTACATCTAAGGGAACTATCACGCAACATAAGCAGAGGTGTCAGAGCTCTGAAAAGAGCTCCAACACCACATGCTCCACAAGCGGAGGCAACAGGAAAAAAATGAGGGAGCGAGTACCGCACGCCCGTACGTAATCAGATCGCGGTCGAGATGAGATTGGTCTAGATCGCGGCCACGCCATTATTTACGCATTTGAGCTGCTTTGTCCCATTTCTGGAGTTACCAAATACATCTTGTCGCATGTTGCACATTTCGCCCCCCCCCCCCCCCCGTTTGGTTTCTTTTGGGGTACTTGAGAACCTAGTAGCCTTGCTTGTGAACGCGAGCGGTCCACCGACGTGCGAGAAGTGCATATTTTTGCTGCGGTCCTGGCTTGACCAACTTTTGATCTTGCGAGTATAACAGAGGCTGATTTTCAAAAGCTCCTTTCACCCACTCGCCTCGCGAAACTAATCCGCTACCCTGGTGCTGAAAGGGGTGACAATGAGTACTGACCATGGTCTTCTTTGCGTACGTGCATTACTCAACTACGACCATGGATGATCCACTGCGAAGTACTGATCACATCGGGTACCTGCGCGTGTATCCAGAGCCGAGGCTTTCCAAAAATGTGGAGGACGCAGACATTTTTCGTGTTTTGTTTGTTGTCATGGACGTAACGTGCATTACCGTGAGATGTTGCAAGTGCAGCCGGGCCCCCAATAACAAAATCGCAAAGCGCGGATAAAAGTAACGATGTCCCGTGCTCATATATTTCCGGTCCATCGGTTACAGCAACGAGAATGGAAAGGCGCAGACACTTCTGACCGCGACGATCACCGTGATCAACGGCTTTCGAAGTATGAGCACGAACAGAGGCTACACGGCAGCACTTATATGTAAGCCAGATCCGCGCTTGTGCGCCACTTCTGTGAAAACTTCCACATACCGCGTACATTACAACCCTACAGGTGGTGCCAGTCCCAAGCGAAAAACACCCACTCCGGCCCTGCAGCTTGGAACATCATAAAAACCTTCCAAAGATGACTTATTGATCACCAAACATTTTTACGCGTCTGCAGCGCACTCAACTTTGTACAACTGTCGGACTACAAACGTTACACACACAGCCCGAGCTGAACAGCACGCGACCGCTCGGGGCGACACCTTGCGTCCGCTGCAGCCGGCGACCAGCGGAGCGTGGCGCGCTAAGAACGGTCCGGATCATCACCAACAAGCAGCATGCGCTGCAGCTCATCACAGAACGACTGCGGCACGTCCTCGCCGGTGTACGACCTGCAGTTGGGCACGATAGACTTGAGGAAACGCTCCTTGAGTGACTGCCAGGTGCGGCCCGGCCCCAGCGCGCGCTCCGCCTCCTGCCAGATGGCCCGGCCAAGCACCCCACGCACACGCAGCGGCACCTCCATGAAGAAGCGCAGGATGGCCACGTCCTCCTCGCGCTCGTACGGCCGACGGCGGCCGCGGCGCAGCAGCGGCGCCGGCACGCGCAGCCAGCTGCGCTGCAGCTCTGTCAGCGAACCGTACTCGTTCAGGCGGGGCTCCATCACCGCCAGATAGTGTTGCTTGAGCGACTGCCACGTGCGACCGGGCACGCAGCGCTCGGCCTCGATCTGGCGCCAGAGGCTTCGGCCAGTCAGCCGCGCGCGGCCCTCCTCCTCCAGCAGGCGCCGCAGCAGCATGCTCTCCTCCTGCCGCGTATAGAGACGCGCCGCCCAGCCGGAGCGGACGCCGACGGTGGAGGCGGCCGGGCTGGGCGAGCGTCGAACAGCCGCGCCGCGCCGGCGTCGCAACCGTCGCCGCCGCGCGCCGCTCGGCGAGCCACCGCCGGAAGAGCTGCCGCCGCTCGTCGGCGACTCGACGCGCTCCGCGACGCACCGCCTCTTTGAGCCCGCGCGGGGGTCGCCGAGGCTCGTGGAGGGCTGCTTCGGCTCCGGCGCACGGTTCATACCTGGTTCGGCGCACAGTTCTTTCTCCTTCCGCGGCGAGCGGCGGCGTGTCGGATGCCCACGCGCGCCCCTGTCGCATAGCGGCGATCGCGCGCCGAGCGACGAGTCGGCCGCAGAACTAGAGGTCACGTGGTTGGATTCGAATGTCACCGCGGTCCCGGCACTGCCGGCGCGCGCAGACCGGCGCGGCGAGCCGCCGGCGCCACCTCTGGCGGTGACGCCGGCGGAGTCTGCTCTGGCTGCGGTGGCCCGCGCCTCCTCATCCAAGCCTCCCGAGCGACGATTTGGGATGCGGCGCGGCTGAGACGTGTCCGGCCGGGCGGCGGGCGGCGCCGCGGCAGAGCCACACACCAAAGTCCGCTCCGGCTCAAAGCTAGGCGATAGCGAGTCCAGGCGGCGCGCGGCCGGTGCGTCCGCCCGCACCGGCTCCCCTTCCGCCCCGTCCCAGTCCGTGCCTGACGAGTCCGTGTCGCGAGAGGCCGCGTCGCCGCTCGGCAGCTGGCGCACCTCCGTGTCGTCGCTGTCACCCAGCGCCGAACGCCCCTCAGAGACGTGCGACACATTCAACTCCAGCTCGCCCGGAGTCTGTGCGGTGCGCGTGGCACTCGCGCCGGGCGCGCCGCCGAGGCCGTTCATCGCGGTTCCCCCGGCGAAGTCCGCCGCGTCTCCGCCGTCCGAAGACCAGCTGTCGCCGGCCGCGGCCGCCTGGTTGGCGCGGCGATCGGCTTCGGCCGCCATCTGGCGCCGCTCGTCCTCCGTGAGCGTCAGCCCGGCGCCGACCGCGCGAGACACGGCCACCAGCGCCGGCAGCGGCAAGGCGCCCCTGAACTCGGCCAGACACGGCACCACGCGCTTCACGAACCGCGTCCACAGCGAGAGCGGCGGGTGGTCGGCCAACGCGGCCGGCAGTCGCGACGCCATCAGCTGCCAGTAGCGCGGCGCCGTCGGCGGCGAGCCGCCCGTGCTGGGCCAGGCCGCCACCAACCGCAGCATGGCCACGTCCTGCTGGCCGGTGAAGCGCGAGCGGCCCTTCCACACGGAGCCGGTGCCACCCACCACCGTCAGCTCGTCCGCTAGCTGCTCGTCTTCGTCAGAGACGATGGGCGCGAAGCGCGCGGCCAGCTGCAGCTCGGACCACGCGCGCTCGCCGAGCAGCACGGCCGACGCCTCCGGCGGGCGCGCGTATAGCGACTCGGTCTGCGTACGGAATTGACTCAGGTCCAGCAGGCGACCGGCCGACGCGCACTTATCGACGAACCTGCCAGCAGGAGTGGGTCAGACAGTCAGGCGCTGGGTTCACAGACCGGCTGCCACGCTCGGATGAGTCGGACACTTAGCGGCAGCAGTCACGTTTTCAGAGGCACCATGGGCGCAATGGCGCGAGTATGCATTGACGCAATGTGATATTAAGACAGCCGTTATCTCCGGAAAAGAGTAATTACCTAGCGGAGCACATGTCAGCAATAGGTGGCCAATGCAAACAGTGGCTTCCACAAACCAATTTTGTACTGGGCGCATATCCGCTTCGGGAGAAACGCACGAAGTTGGTTTCATAGAAATGGTGACGATTCGTTGTAAAGACGTCAATCAAAGCAACACTTACCAGGTCACAAAGTCAGCCTTGCATAAGACGGCTGTACCACTAAGACACGCACCCGACAAACCCACAACAGCGCGCCACCTATCGGATGGCCGGCGCAGCTCAGCTTGGCGTGCTCACCGCGTGCTGAACGTGTCGCGGCGGTGCGAGGTGGGCGGCCGTCGCTCGGAGCCGGACGCCGCGTCGGTCAGCACCACCGCGTGTGGGTGCCGGGCCGGGTTGTCCACCAGTACGCCACCATGCCGCGTGACCAGCTGAGTGACGCGGAAACGCTCGGCGCCGAACACGCGCTCGAGGTGGAACTCGGCTGGCCTGCCATCCAGCCGCCGGAACAGCAGCGCCGCGGCGCCGGGCGGACCAGTCATCATGCCGCCTGCCGCCGGACACAGGGGCGTCAGGGGGGGTGGCGGGGAGCCTCTGCAAGCTTCGCGGGTTTGTAATGACTGATGACTAGTTTTGTACATATGTTCCATGTACACAATATTGAATAACCATTTTTCCTTTAGAGCTTTCCATATGCACAATGTTTTGATATGCAATCTAGCCAAGTAAATCATGTGATCATGTGCAAACCTGACTGTAGCATCTGGGAAAAGAGAACATCATAGCATGGACAAATTAGAAACAGTACACCAAATTGTTTGCATTTGGAAATTGCTTGCACTGCATTTAGCTTGAAATACCCATGCATCACATTGGCATCTCACCTAAACACAACCAAATATGTATGACAACCACACTAGCATGTCCTCAGGCACCTATAGGTGCTCTGTGCTTAGTACTCTTTGAAACATTTTTCCACACCTCATACCCAGGACCCACATGTGTTACATCAGGGTACCAATTGTTGTGTGTGCACAATATACTTATGCTGAGTGTGTCATGCCACTTGACAGTTGCATTCACACAAAGGACATACTTTCTTCTCTAATCTGCTATCTGATAATACTGAGCTTTTTGCTTTGTTTTGGAAACATAAGTCCAAATGATTTTGGCTGCAAGTTAAAATACCTAGAGAGTAATTCTGAGTAGATCGTCAATGATGAAGACATCTAACAACTGCATGGCAGCAGAAATTAATTCAAGAGGGTATGTGGTCATTTCCTCAGTTCCTGACAGTCCCTGTCTGTACTCTTAACTCAGGTCAGGTCAAATAACACAGAATTTACTATTTCTTTATGGAAAAATGTTCACCATGTTTTTACCTGAACTTCCTCTAACAAAACCAAAATTCTTTCACATACTGGCTCTCTATCAGCCAACTTTGTCAAACCATGCAACAACTCAGAAAAAGAGCAACAAAGTCCCAAAAACAAACACACATAACACACTCAGATTCCAAAATAAGAGTGTTCAGATGTGTGATGCATACACAATGAAATTATTGCTCTGGTGTCATACTGCTTTACCTGATACATACAAGCATCATAACATGTATTTTTCAGCCCAGTAACTATGTGACCATGTAACCATTCAATTTGTGCATACTTCAGCCTGTAGTTTGCTGATAGGCCTATACAATTACTGTCCTTAATACAAGTATGCTCTATGGTTATTTACCACTTATCAGACCCAAAAAATGAGAATAACCAGCACTGCTAAGGCCTGACGCATCACAACAGTTCATACATGGGACACAACATACTTTAAGCAGTGGAGTGAATATGGGAATAGCAGTTGCAATATTGGTTGTGACAATGGTTAACAGCTGTGTACATAGCTGTTTTGATTCTACTGGCATAAAGTGGCCGAAAGGATGTAAACATTTTTCAAGGCAAACACATGTGTTCCGTTGCCGACCCAACCGACGCTCGCAGTTTCAACATCGCAAACCCCTCCCACTTGACGATGACAGTTTCATTGTTACCATATTTCGCCTACACCCTACCACATCGGTATGCGCAGGTCCACCTAGCTTAAGGCCTGGTTTTTGGGACTAAGGCCATGGGTCCTGCCCGCATACACTTAGTCTAGTGCTCTGACGCGTACCGCCGGCGGGGTTTCGAACCAGAGCGCCGCATTTTGCGGCAAAATACGGTGCAGTCGACCATTGGACGGAAAACAATCATAATGGCTACAAAGTTCACATAATGTCATGAGAGACAGATATATCCGACCAACAAAGAGCCACACGGGCCTGTCTAGGTTGGCCTACCTCAGGTTCCGTAAACATCCTCAAAACCATGGCTACTAGAGACTAATTACCTGACGTAGACTGTTAAAATCTAATCACCTTACCTCACCTTATGGTGATAGGGAATTATAAAAAGCCACTAGGCCTGTAGGTCCCTGTTTCGTCAAGCTCCCGGCCCGGTAACCAGTCTCAAATTATGGAAAGATTCCGTGTGGGACGTCGCACATTATGCCAGCTCAGTGCATATCAAGCCTAGACTTGAACTGTTCAACTGAGGTCGACGACACGACTGGGTGTGGAAGAGCGTTCCAAACCTTGACAACCCGTGTGCTGAATGAGTTACGACGGACGAGAGTCCTAGCTCGAGGTTTTCTGAGCTTCCATTGGTGTCCTCCCGTCACCTCCAAGTTGTGCCTTGTCAGGAACTCCTCTTCCGACAGCGACATACCTTCATGAAGCAGCTGGTACACTGTTACCATGTCTCCCTTACGACGACGATAGTACAGCGAGGGCAACAGGAGTCTGAGCCTTTCAGGGTATGGCTGGCGCCTCACGCCATAGATAAGCCGGGTAGTTCGTCGCTGAACCCGTTCCAGCCGTCTCTGGTCCAGTTTGCCGAATGGGTCCCAGATGGCGTTTCCATACTCTAAGTACGGACGTACTAAGATCTTAAAGAGCAATGGCAACGTGCGAGCATCGATGTTGACAAAAAACCGCCTCACGACCGCCAGCATCTGGTTAACCATGGAGATGGCTTCCGCCGTCTGCACGTGGAACTGGAGCCGGTAATCCACGAAGATCCCAAGGTCCTTCTCGGTGGACTCGGCCGCGATTTCAGCGCCGTACAACAAGTATGTCAGCCTCGCGTTGCAGTTCCCGATGTGCATTATTTTGCACTTTGCTGCACTAAAGGGGAACAGCCACCCCTTTGACCACTTGGCCAGGGCGTCGAGGTCACCCTGCAGAGGTGAGTTAGTCAGGGGCCTCGGGACACGACAGTAGACCTTGGTGTCATCCGCAAAAATCTTGACCACACTCCGCACTTATTCTGGCAGATCGTTCACGAAAATATGAACAGCGTTGGTCCAAGTGCTGATCCTTGCGGGATGCCGCTGACGAAGTCGGTCCAGTCCGACTTCGAGCCCTGGACCCGCACTCTATGCATCCGGTGGGTAAGAAAAACCCTGATCTAGCGTAACAAATTACCTCTCACACCGTAAGCATGAAGCTTGGAGAGCAGACGGTTATCAGGCACGGAATCAAAGGCTTTGCTGAAGTCCAGGCACGCCACGTCCACCGACCCTCCATCCTCTAGCGCGGCGCTCCAATCCTCCATGACCTCTAACAGCTGGGTAATACAGGACCGCTTAGGGAGAAACCCATGCTGGGCTGCATGAAGAAGTGATTAAGTAGGGCATCACAGACGAGAGTTTCGAGTATCTTGGGGGAATGGCATTAAGGCTCACTGGGCGGTAGCTCGCTGGGGATTGTCGGTTACCCTTCTTGAAGATCGGGACAACCTCGCCAAGCTTCCACTCCAGGGGAGCCTTCCGGATGCCAAAGATTTTCGGAAAAGCATGTTGAGGGGTGCTGCCGGGACATCTGCGCACTCGCGAAGAAGCCTTGGATGGACATCGTCTGGCCCAGGGGCGCTCGAGGTCTTCAGAGCAGCCAATTTATTTGCCACTGCCTGGTTAAAGATGTCCATGCCATCCAGAAACGGTCCAGTAAAGTTGCACAGCAACACAGGCATGGCACTAGTCCCTTCGTCTGTGAAAACGATGGCGAAGAATTTACAGAGGACATTGGCATTCCCTTTGTTACTGCTGGTCAACACTCCATCATCACCAAGAAGGTCTTCTACCCTGCATCCTGTGCGTAGTCTTGACTTGGCGTACCTCCAAAAGGCCTTGGGGTTTCTCTTGAGGTCTGCTACCAATTTCATCTCATACTCTTTCCAAAAGTTTCTGGTAAACTTCCGAAGGTCATTGCGACAACACACAAACCTGGCATGGTCCAGAACATCCTGAATCCACGTGTACATTCGCCATAATCTTTCCTTAGTCTTCTTTAGCTGCATGGCTCTTGGGTTCATGTACAAGTTCTTGTTAGGTTTAGTCCTTCTCCTGACGGAGCAAACCTCAGTAGCTCTGGCGATTCTTTCCTTGAAGAACTGGTAAGCATCGTCGAGGCTGAGGCTCTCCATCAGGGACCAGTCCATTGACCTGAGGATGCCAGCCAGATGCTCGTAATTTGTGTGTGTCATCTGGCCGGGACGAGGAGTTTGTAGCCCAGAGTAGCAGACCAAAGTGTACTTGATTACCACATGGTCAATGTTACCTAGCCCAGGCAGGTATTTGATTTGGCTCACCATGCCCTCCTCATTTGTGAAAATAAGGTCCAGAGCACTGGAACCTTCACCAACTCGGTAGCGTATTGGCTGCTGGACATGCTGGAGCAATAAACATGCGAATGCACATGTATACATATTTCAGCCAGAAATTTCAAAAGGCATATAGTAACTCATGCAGCATCTAATCAACTTGAATTCATTATGAAAAGACAGTTTTGTTAGCAGTTGCAGCAGCATTAGCATTAAGTCGACATCTGGAGCTATTGTCAGTGTTTTAGGTGCTCGGAAACCTCCACTCCCTTTAGAACAAAAAAATAAATTCCCTTAAATTAGGTCCAGTTAATAATATTTGAGCTTAGTGTTTGTATTTCTGTGTAAGGTAATGTTTTTAATACTCCATATTGAATATTTGATGAGCCAAAGATCACTTTGAAACCTGCACAAAAATAGTGGTAATATACTTTTGTTCTGAGCACGGGGTGACAGCTTTCCGCGCGAAATCCACACAAAACGGGTGCAATAGATGCGCGGAAGACGTCGTGGCGCAGTCGTCCGTCTGTGGTTGCGTTGTGCATAGGATTGGGATGTTGTGTGTGAGGGGTGCCAGGGATGGTGTAAACTCTCGGTTGAGCCCTCATTTATTTGTAATGATTGAGTCGTATCCCATTTAGAGCTATTCCTGGTACGCTGCACTACGTGCCTAAGCGAAGTTGCCAATTCGTAGCAGAATGGCCCAAGCGAAGCAAAAGGGATTCTTGAAAAATACTGGGAAGTTCCAGGCTGGAAAAGATGATGGTACTTGGTGAGTGATGGTAGTGTTGTGTATGGTCTGATAATTGTGTTGTTGTGTTTGACTGTATTTTTGGAAGCATTTACCACCTGATGTTTTTGACTTCTACCAACCCCAAATGCCAGACAAGACATATTTGTTTTTATCTGTGTATGAACAGGGTGTTTGAAGCATGGGCTCGCTACCAGAAATTGTGGCTGCTTTAAGGCACTATTGTTGTGATGGCCTCTGGCAATAAAGTATTTAATGCTCAAATCAACATAGTGACTTGTGCCCATACTCCAAAAGATTCATGTGTCACTGATCATGTCTGGTATAGCAGGGACATCTCTGCAACAATACTAGCCAGTGCACCCAGTAGATATGAGTGCTCAAAATTTTCGTGCATGCTTATGACTATTTTTAGCTCTTAGAGAGATGATGTTTGGAGGAATTATGGTATGGCAAGAGCAATATCAGGTGGAAATGAAATGTTGCTCACACTAAAGCTATCTAAATATTCAACACAATTTGGCCTGGCCTTAGCTTGACACATGTAAGCCCCAGGTTCAGTGCAAAGATGTTGAATAGTTGGGTGGTACAGTGGATTATTTTTGCATTCTGGACATGTGTGGTGGAGAAGTACTGGTTGCATTGGTGGGGGAGGGGGGAGGGGGCTAGTTGTCATATGGTGAGACATCCATATAAATGCACACTCTCTTGTAGATGCTATTGATCTGGCTGTGTAGGGTATATTTGCTCTGTAATAATATGCAGACAACCAGGGCTATGGGTTACTATAGGCCAGGCATTGTCACTAAAGCCTAGACATCTGCATTAAAAAGATGAAATGATGTTCTAAGGTCTAGCTGCTGTGCAGTTTCCAAGTATGCATGCAAACAAAACATGCCACAATTTTCTAATGCTTTGAGGCCTAACCAAATGTCACGAGCCTAGCATTGGACCATAAGGTCTGGTTTTGCCAGGCCGCCATCTGTGATCAATATTAACTTCTACTATTGTTTTGATAAAGGCATGTTGCCAAAATATCAACCCAACTATATCTCCGTTCTTCTGGCTTTTTTCCAAGGAATGAGGGTAATACTTCTGTCTTATCTATATGAATAACATTCCTCACTAAAGCACTGAACAACTTACATGCTAGACTTTGTTTGGTACACCCTTGGTCTGTGTTTGCACGATGGTGGTACCATTTTGTGCCTGACTCTGACCCTGGGCCACACCAGAACTGTATCTGGGCTGTGCTGGGTGTGTGCCTGACCCTGGGCCACACCAGGACTGTGCCGGGGCTGTGCTGAGGGTGCATTTGTGCCTGACTGACCTCGAGCCACACCAGAACTGTGTCCTGGCAGTGTTGGGGGTGCATTCGTGCCTGACTCTCCACACCAGGATTGTGTCTGGACTATGCTGGGGGTGCATTGGATCCTGCCAGGATTGGTGGAGCTTTAAGTGGATGAGAAGAGAAGAACATGTCATACCAGAGCTTGCATAGAGAACTGTCTCTGGAATGCTTTGTTCTGTGGGTAGCTTGATTGCATGCTACAAGTTTCTAAGGCTCTGAGGCTGAACCAAATGTCAGGAGCTTAGCATTGGACTGTTCTAAGGTTCTGTCTTACTGGGCTGCCTTCTGTGATCGTCGGCCAGATATGGTTCCATCCAATGGTCGTTTATTGAACAGCAAAGGCCAGCTATTGCGTTACTTGACGGCGGTTGCACAAGCGTTCTGAGAATGACACGATCGCGGTTACCGGGGCATTAGAGCTCAGGCCCGAGCGCACAGTTAAACGCCAAGTGGTTACATTCGGCGCCGAGTGCATGCGCACACGGCAGATGCGTTTACAAATTAGACATGGTAGTGATCCGGATCCAGTCAGCTGGTCTGGGGAACATACGAGGACAGCGTGTAATGTAGCCCATGTCTGAAGTTCGACCGGCAATGCAAACCAATTACCTAGCGCAACTGCCAACCACTACCTAGCAAACCAACTACCAAGACACCGTGATCGCCGATCATCTCAGATACTCCCCCAGAGCGTTGGGCGTGACACATGAGCCCGTCTGTCTCCCGCCCTCCCACCGACGATGTCTTCTTGCGTCCCTTCACCTAGATAGTAGTCGGTAGTGTTCAACGTCACGTATACGCTTCGAAGAAGCGGTAATTTTCTTTCGCAGTCACCGTTTGTACATGGACATATCCAGATCTAAAGATATATGCCCACCAGGGCGTTGAACGACTGCGCCTTTCCTCTTTGGTTGAGTTGATTCTTCCACCTTCGTTCGGAGAGGGAATGGTATTGGTTCCCTAGCGGCGACGCCTTCTCGCGCAGCAGCGCTCAAGAAGCCCACGGCAGCGCGTGCGCGCGTCACGACTTTAGACAACTAAACACAGACGTGGAAACGCTCGCGCACGCACTCTGCGCGAACAGTGCACCGCACGACAGCTGGTACCCCATGATTCCGCCGCAGCACTGCACGCGGCGGGACGTACGGCTGCGCGGCCGTGCGCGCGCCGCGATTGTTCGCGCGGTGGACGGGCCACCCCTGCCACGGTCTCGTGCGAATCCGGCGCGCCGTCGCGCGTCAGTTTGCCGGGCGGCGGCGCCGAGTGGCGGCGCGCCTGCGCGTCACCACACCGGTGCGGTGCTCCTCCGAAGAGTGTTCGGCCGCACCGCTCGGGCGCGCCGCCGGCCCAGCTCTCTGACCCCGTCTGATCACCGTCTCGGCACTCTGTCACGGTACGCCAGCCCGATACACTGGGGCATTGCGCTGTTCTGTGACTCTCCTCGTAGATCGTTCGGGTTCTGACGCACTGGTTTGGCATTGTTTTGGCCCGGTGTCACCGTGCGTCACCTCAGCACATCCCCGTGCACTCTCTCGTTGTGCTCTCCTGCTACAGAGTCCTGGCACGCTCTCAGCATGACGCACCGGCCCGGTACACTCTCGGCACAAAGCCCTAATGCGTTGCGTGGGTGCACTGTTCCCGTCAGCTGTGCGGTGCACCGTCTCGGCACGTTCTGCAGGTACGCTGCCGTGGCGCCCCCCCCCCCCCCCCCCCCCCCTCCTCCCCTGTAATATCCTAGAACACTGCTGGTGCACCACACTCATGTCGACCAAGCCCGGAGGCGTCGCTACAGTCGATTTCACTCCCGCCACAATCCAGCCTGTTTCCGCCACGGTCGAGCCTGCTCCCGCCACAGCCCAGCCTGTTCCCACCACGGTCGAGCCTGCTTCCGCCACAGTCCAGCCCGTTCCCGCCACGGTCGAGCCTGCTCCCGCCACAGTCCAGCCTTTTCCCGCCAAAGTCCAGCCTGCTCCCGCCACAGTCCAGCCTGTTCCCGCCACGGTCGAGCCTGCTCCCGCCACAGTCCAGCCCGTTCCCGCCACACTCGAGCCTGCTCCCGCCACGGGCGAGCCTAGTTCTTCCAGCCGGCCAGCGCCCTCGCGCCGTGCAGGTTTGCGTAGAGCGGCTCGTTGGCGGTGTCGAGATGGCCCTTTGGCGGTGGCCGGCTGCATACTGGAGGTGGGATGTCGCTCTCCGGCGGCACCGACAGCGGCGGACGCATCACTGGCACGTAATCGTTCTCTGGTATCCTGTCGAGGAAAGTGTTGCAATTGAAGTTTGGGAGACCCAGATGGAGACGGCAGGTTGGAGTGACGTAAGTGGCGGCCAGGAATGTCAGAGAGAGTGATCCGTTGTCTAGGAAAGCTCACCCGAACGCCTGTGGTCATTGGACGACACGAGTCGCGCCAACGGACGTACGACCTATTCGTGAGCCTGCGCTGACGACGTCGCTAGAGCCCACGGATTTCTAGGTCTGTGTTGAGAGGCAGAGCATGGCATCTGCTGGCTGCCATTCCTCCCCAGGATTGGCATCAGCGTAGGCGTTAGGAACTGTATTGGAAACAAGCGCCGTCTTTGGCAGTTCAACAGTCCCCGCCCAGCCACCCGGCTGCATGTCCTTTTGAATACAAGGTGCTTTTTCAGTGTGGTGTCGTGAGTCCCACCCCGTCTGGTGCGCGGTTTCACTCCTGGTGCGCACGCCTCTCGCACGGCCCGTGCGGTCCACACTTAGGCATCGGTACTTCTCTAGGACATATCTGAGTACAAGTGCAAAGACGCAGCTGAATACAAACACACCTGCTGTGTGCTTCAAGGTCGCAGGAACATCGTCTCACCTGTCCGGCTGTGCGAGGACAGTTTCAGTCCTGTCCGGCTGTGTGGGTGGCTTCTCCCTGGCGTCCACCAGTTTCTGTTGGCGTTGTCGCTCCTTGCGGTAGATGGACGGGTGCAGCGGCTGGCTGACCTGGAGCGCGTGGGGCTCCTCGTCAAAGCTCTGCTCGCGCGCCGCCCGTCGGCCGCACCAGCGGCCAAACAGCGCCCCAGTGGCCAGCGCCAGCATCCCCACCGGCACCACCACCGCCATCACCAGCTCCAAGCGCGTGAGCCGCGACCCGGTGCGCGACGGCCCCAGGAACTGAGCCACCTTCCGTGGCACGCCCTCGTCGCCGCACAGCGAGCTGTCAGCGAACAGACGGTAGTCGTCGGCGACCGACTTCGGCAGCGCGCTGCAGTCGGCCTGCGCGTCCCGCAGCCAACGAAGCCGCTCGTCGCAGGGCAGCACATTGTCGCGGATGCGACGCACGAAGAGGCGCGCGAGCGGACAGGTCGCCGCGCACAGCTCCGAACCGAAGCGCAGCGAATAAGCGCCGACGGTGTGCAGCCGGTTCGAGCGGAAGGTGACGAGGTCGGAGCACACGTCGCGGAGCGCGTGCGGGGAGAGCGCGCCGAAGACGCTGCTGCTGACGCGCAGCCGGACGCGGAATGAGAGCCGCAGCGCGCCGGCGCCGACGCTGGAGATCGCGCTGCTGTCGAGCCGCAGCACACCGCCGCCGGCCCGCAGCGTGACGGCGCCGCTGGCCAGCGTGCCGACCGTGCTGTTCGTGAGGCGGACGTGCACGTGCGAGGCGGCAGCCGGCGGCGTGCAGTTGCCGTGGCCCAGCCGGGAGACGTTGATGCCGCCGGCGTGCAGCCGCTCGATTGTGCTCCCCGTGATGGTGACGTTGACGAAGGAGCTCATGTCGTTAGCATACCAGTCGCCTATCGTAGTGTCGACGATGAGGAGCGTCGCGTCCGTCACGTTCGCCGGATGGGAGAAGGCGTCGCGCTCGACTATCCCGATGCGGCTGCCAGTGATCTGTATCGTTCTCGCCTGGAATGGCGGGCAGCGCGTTGGACCGAGCAGGACAGCGCGGCTGCCACTCTCTGGTGATTAATGATGTCATTACTGACATGTTGCCGGCAGTTTTGCGACTACCAACGGAATAAGTACAGGCATTGCTAGAAATCTGAGATTTGACACAACGTTTCACAGGGAGGTTTTTGGGTTGAGGCCCCGTTGCTAACCATAGCTCTTTGCGAGGACACCGAGAGGAACGCCCCTTCAGAGCCGTTCCATTTCAACGGAATTTTTTGCCGAGAGCTTTTAACATGCTGTACAAAACCATGGCTAGGCGCCAAATGACCGCCGCAGTCGGCGCGCCCGTTAACTCCAATAAACAACAAAACCATGGCATAGCTGTCCGTGCTGCGCGCACCACCATTCGTGTGCCATGCATGTCTCGGCCAATTCACCAACTATCCTTCAGTAGCAGGCGGCTGAGTGAAGTCTGGGCGTGCCGCCAAAGGATTGCCGCCCATTGATTTGATCGCAACGTCGGACACTGGCAGCTGAGTGGCGTGGGCGGTAGCCAACGGGGCGCGTTGCTCGCACGCGTTGGTCGTAAATGACACTGCTATTCGTTTTGCTTATGTAGGTCCCCTGTCCGTTTGCCCTAAACTCGCATTTACCCTAATCCTGGGTGAGATGGAAGTGTACTATTTTAATGACCTATGCTGCTAAATGCCCCGCCAGAGAAGCTGGTACTTATTTTATGTCGTCCTCTCCAGCTCTCCGCTTGGCTTGCTCGCTCTCCGCGTACCGTCCTCCTTGTGCCCCCCAGCCCCCACCCCGTCTCCTTCCGATCCTCCCCCTTCCGGTCCTCTCCCGACTGTCCACTGTACCTCAGCGAATCCGTTGCTGCTAATCCTCGTTTTGTTGACGTTCTCCAGTCGGGAGATGCTGGCGGCGACTAGCGGCAGCAGTAGCAGCAGGAGTAGCCCGTGCGCCAGCGGGGTCAGGGTACCTGCCAGGGCGTAGCACAGAGCGTCCGTCACGCCCTGACCGGTGCCGCCGCTGGAGATGGTCCGTGCGCGGGCTCGCCGCGCACGAACGGCAACTCTGTATGTGTGTGTGCCTGCCTGTGTGCGTGCGTGCGTGCGTGCGTGCGTGCGTGGGTGCGTGCATGCCTGTGTGGGTGCGTTTGCCGTAGCTCACGGCTTGCTGGATCATTTTTGTTCATGCATGTTTGGTGCAGCTCACAGCTGGTGACCGAACGTGCCATTTTGGAGCTCGTTCGGACGAATTTTGCAATGTTTGATATACAGAGGGTCCGGCTAGATTCGCACTGGTGCGTCGCAGAAGGTGGTGGAAGGCGTAGCCATGTCACAGTTCACCGCGGGTTATCTGCGCGAAATAGCTCTGGGCTCCCGCTATATCCAACTTTCAGAATCAGTTTTTTTCTGTGCATCACGCCGATTCGCCGTGATAAATATCAGAGCGGGACAGAGTCCCCGAAGCTGCCGCTGACGCGAGGCTGACCTGACATGTGGCATGGTTAGCAACCACAAGCTAGCGACAGGGGAGAGAGTGCAGCGGCCCTGGCGAATAATCGCTGAACTGTAAAAAAGGACCGTTGGCTTGCCAGATGGTGACACCCGGGGTGGGTCAAGAAACGGCGTTAAATTGAACGTCCGACAATGTTGAGAATTTTAAGCTGGATGAAGATGTTTCGTCCTAATGTAGCCTTGGCAGCTGAGGCAGCTGTGCTTTGGACTGGGTGCGGCCGGACGGCAATCCTAGATGACAATGGATAACCGAAACACAACCTCCGACGCTGCTTTTGACATCACTCGACCGGGGTCTGGCCCGAGGTCCCTCCCATAGAACAGAACAAATTGCACAGCCGGCCGTCTGTCATCGAGATGAACACCTCACTCAAATGGCAGCGATGTAGGTGCGACACTAGCCGTCAGTTTGGACGCCCACCAGACGGGTCGTGCGGCGACGGCGCCCGCGCGTCTGCCGCCCGCCGCCCTGCTTACCTGCCATGGCGCGGTGCCGCCGGCGGGCGCGTGGTCGCTCACGCCTCGACCAGGCTCGCTCTGGCCACAGGAAGCGGCGCCGGCGCCACTATCGCCAGCTCGCCGGCCTCTTCCTCTGACGTCAGGCAGCGCTGGCGGGCGCCCGAGTCACGCGCCAGTTGGCGAAGGCCTCGGCCACTGGTGCGGCTGGGGAGGGGCGGTGTCGTGCCCCCCGTGATGTGGCAGACCGAGCAGCGCGGCATCCTCCGGGCTCCGGGCGCGTGCCATTCGGCTGAAGCGACGACACATGCCGGCCCGAGACAGGCCTTGCTGTCGCCCGGGCCAGACGAGTGATTTGGACCCCTCGGATGGCCTGGGAATCGTTCGGCGGGCGGTGAACTCGAGGGTTTCTCTGATTCAGTCGTAGACGCTCTATGCGGACTCTACATGTAAGACTCCGCGGCTGACCAGCCGGCCGTGCCTGCTCATCCGTTGGTCACAGGCTCGTCCCGCTGTGGTACGCTTGTGGGCTTACCGAGCAGAGCGGAACACTCAATGATAGGCATGGTGGGTCGCGTTTTCCCGAATCAGAGCCATCTGTGTTATAAAAAGCACGCGACTGGCGGTGGACCAGTTCGTTGTCAAGTATCTAGCGTGGGATATAAGTGCGAATGAATTGGGCATGAATTTTATGTTATCTCTGTGACAGCATTGGTGCTGAGGAAAACATCACGGCCATCCCAAATATGCCCCAGACGGACCTGACTTCAGAGTGACTAACCAGCCATCCGACATGTCTGGGTGTACGTTCGTAACCGGGACGCCGCCCTCCGCGCGTCGTCCGTGCTGAGACAGCACAGGCGGATAGGAATTCTGACCGAAGACGTGTGCACCTCAGTGATACGTGCGCGTTGCTCGGGCGCGGGCCTCTGGGCTGCGTGATGCTGGTGACGTGCTGGGTGGACGAGTTTGCCGCCCGACGCGATATCGAGTACTTACCACCTCCGGGGCCTACGTCTGCGGCGGTATTTTTCGAGTCGGAACCGGCGGCCGCGTATCTCACACCCCGCTTCCGCCGACGTCCCCGTCCTCACCCCTCCCCCTCCCCCTCCCCCGCAGCGTGTGTCGCCGCACCGTCCCTCCCCCCCCCCCCCCCCCTCCTGAGCGGGGCGTGATGAGACGGGCCTGCGTGTCGCCAGGAAGGAGGATGCCTCCCAGAAGCGGCTGCAGAACTCGCTCGACAACGACGCCATCGACACCAAGTTCGGGTTCTGCCGTGCCCGCGACGTGTGCGAGCGCGTCGGCTGGCTGCTCAACTTCCACGCGGTAGGCGGGCGGCCGCCGCGGCACGGCCGCTGCCCCGCCGGGGTCGCTCCCGACTGTGGGGCGGTGGTGAGGCTGCCGGTGGAGGCTCCGTGGCCAGATGTTCGGTGGGGTGTGCGGCTCGTGTGCGCAGAGTGGGCGCACTGGGGCATCAGCGCTGGTATGTGCATTGCGATATCGACGGTGCTGACTTGATGTCTCGGACTTGTCTTAGGAACATGGCTCCTCCCCACCAGGGTAAGAGGTGGGCGACGCCATGAAGCCTCAGCAGCCGAGTGCGGCGTTCAGTGCCAATGCAGGCTGGATGTCACAGCACGCCATTTCATTTCACCCGTCTTTTGTGGGAACCGTCCAGCCAAACACTCGTGTTGTGTGGCGCCTGCGCCTCTCTGGCGATGAACCGCGCTTTGTTAGTTCACGATTGGGACTACCGCTCGTATGACATCAGACAGCTCTGCACCCTCCTGATGGGAAGGGAAATACCCACGCTCTGTCCTCGCCAGACGGAGGTGCTGGACGAGGACAAGCGGCTGGTGGGCGCCGTCGACTACTACTTCCTTCAGGAGAACGGCGGCCGCTTCAAGGTCTCGCTGCCCTTCAAACCGTACTTCTACATCCTACCGGAGGAGGGCACCCACGAGGAGATCGTCGCCTTCCTCTCCAAGAAGTATGCCGGCATCGTGGTCGGCATCGAGCCCGTCTCCAAGGAGGACCTGGACCTGGTAAGATGCTGTCGAGTCTGGCGGAGGCCGGCGTCGGTGCCGCCGGTGTCGGCTTCACTCGTGTCGCGCACAGCGGGCGCCGTCGTCTCATTTTTGTGCGGGCTGCGCGGCGATTGGGTGGCCCGACGATCTTGGGTTCGAATCCCGAAGTTTCGAAGTTTCTGGAGTTTTATTTGCAGGCTCCTACCTCAATTGATATTCGGTTGGTCGTTGGTGTTTCACGCGAATGTCCTATTAGCTGTCTTCTTGTTGTCATTCTCATTGTTTTTGTTATCGAATGTCTTGTTTGAACAATGCCTTTTTGTAGGCGTCATTAAAATGTTTCGTCCAAACTTTTTGATCGACTGGACATTTGTGATCTGAATTTGCGCTGAGCAGCGCGTGGTGCGTGCACCTGGACCCCACCATCCGAACGTGGACCTCCGGACTAACGGCAGAAGCTTGTTGCGAAAGTAACTCCCCATAACGTAGTGTGTTGCTAAATGTGCGGCTTGCTGCGGTGGCACTTGCTTTAGATTAAGTATTGCTTGGTGGGGAACATTTCGCATAATGGTAGGGTATGTACGTGTTGTGTTTCACTGCTTCACTGTTGTTATTCTATTTTGTTTTTGTCTTACTCTATAGTTTGGCAGCCAGTTTTCCTTGCCTCGCCACTCTGTAGATGTGATGTGACGACGCGCGCATGGCACGAAGCTTGGCGACAAACAGACAGCCGTCCATTCTTGCGTCACCATGTCGCTTGCCTCCCTCCCAGCCGAACCACCTTGTGGGCCTGAAGAGGAACTACCTGAAGCTGTCCTTCCTCACCGTCAGCGAACTGCAGAAGGTCAAGCGGGACGTGCTGTCGGCGGTGCGACGGAACAGAGAGCGGCGCCAGTCGCAGGTCAGAGGTCACTGCATTCTGAAACGGCGCCGCCGCCGTCCGCCCGCGGCGTGCCGGCGGTTGTCCTCTCGCGACGTCTGGGCTTGTCTTCTCGCCGCGTCCGGGCTCGTTCTCTCATCACGTTTAGGCCCGTCCTTTCGTCGCGCCTGGGCCGCGCCGTCCTCTCGTCCCCTCGCCGCGTCTCGCTCGTCCTTTTCTGGCCGCGTCTCGACCCGTCCTCCCTCCGCGTCTCCCTCGTCCCTTTCTCGCCGCGTCTGGGCCCGTCCTCTCGCCGCGTCTCGCCCGTCCTTTTCTGGCCGGGTCTGGGCCCCTCCTCCCGCCACGTCTCGCTCGTCCTTTTCTCGTCGCGTTTGGGCTCAAACCCCAGCGGGCCGGAGACCGAAGACCGGAGACCCGGCGACCTTCCTTGCGTCGGATAATCGGCGCGAGTCACGTGATAGGACTGCCTGTGATTGAAGGCACCAGTGCGTGGTGGCGGTCTGCGGTAAACGCTGATGTGGAGTATCGCACGTTGGCGCACTCTGTGTGCTACTGACTTATACTCGCCCCCGTGGCGGCACCGGCTTCGGCCAGTGTAGGGGACCGAAACTTCACTGCAACTTGCATCCAGCCTACGATGTGTCCTAAATCTAAACTCATGGAGACTGCTCCTTGGGAGCAGTCTTCACTTCCATCGCCAAGAGTGGATGTTTCGCTATCAAACATGCAAAAGCAACGCGTTCTCATGACGGAACTTGAAGACACAGCCTTAGAGCACATAGCCTCCTTTGACGGATGCGTGATGACTTATGCGGATGGTTCGAAGACGGATGCAGGTGCGGGGTGCGTTTGTGTGTGTGGATCCACAACACGGTCATTCACACAGCCCGCACACGCGTCGGTCTTCACTTCCGAGCTTATGGCCATCAGCAAAGCCCTCTGTCTTATTGAGGTAGACGATAGCAGTTTGCATTTGATTTTTTCCTTGAGCAGTCTCCCGGCTGTTGGTGGCTTCTCCTCGTCGAATCCACTGGTCCAGGACATCCGATCGTGTCTTAGCTCGCTGGATCGAGCAGGAAACACGGTCGTACTGTGCTGGATCCCAGGTCACGCGGGGACCTGCGGAAACGATCTTGCTGACGCAGCAGCAAAGCGCGCTACGACAGGGACGCGTATTCCTACCACACCACTACCAGCTCAAGACATGTACCCTGCAGCGTCGTTCATGCAGAAGCGATGGCAGTTCCACTGAAAGTCCCCGAGCGCCAAACAGCAGAAGTCAGTGAAACCCCGTACTGGACTATGACAGTGTTTTCGCAAGAATAGGAGGGAGGAGGTTGCCCTCTGTCGGTTGCGCATAGGCCACACATATGCTACGCACCGTCACCTGTCATTGGCTGGGGACAGACCACACTACAGTTGATGCTCTGACCCGCTGTCCGTGCATCACGTACTCGTCGCTTGCCGTCACCTTACAGCAACGAGAGTGCAGTTTTTCGGACACAACGCCCAGAGTCGCACGCTATGTCACTTTTTAGGGGATTGTTCGCATGCTCTCGAGTCTGGTAGTGTTGCAGTTTCTTCGCGTTGTAGACGTCCCAGTAATCTTTTCATCATGATACCAGGCCTGCTCATCAAGGCTTGGTAGGGTGACGCGATTGATGCACTTGCCTGATTTGCGGCTCTGGGTAAAATGACAGTCATGGGCGCTGCATGACCTACAACAGTCGATGCGCCCCCAAACCTAAATCATCATCATCATCATCATCATCACGACCCATACTCACCTCCAGCATGCGGACACCACTCGGCTCCATGTTCATGTAACCGAACGCCGGATGGGTCAGCTGCGGGCTCAAACCCGCCTCATGCGATCTGCGTACACCTTGTACTCACTATAACCCGCTAGTTGAACAACACAATTTAACATCGCTTCCTGCCGTACACCCTTGGCGTGCGGCATGTGGCGCGAACGCCGCACTGCGCCCGCTGCTGTTGTTGCACCTCCCGGCACGGCTTCCAGACGGCGTACTCGGAGCTGCTGACGTCGTACATGACGGGCGCCGACGGGGACGAGCCGGACAACAAGAACCAGATGGACAACGTGGTGGACATCAGGTACGGAGTCGGCTCTGCGCCGCGCCTCCAGTCTCCGCCGCGTCTCGCCGATGGACGCTTCCCTTCCGCACCTTCTCTCTTTCCTCCAGCCCCTCCTTGGTTTTCCTCCTGCTCTCTTGTCTCACTCCCCCCCCCCCTCTCTCTCTCCCGTCGCCCATCCGTATGGGAGGGTGGACGTCAAGAACGGGTACAACCTCTCTCTCTCCGTCGCCCATCCGTATGGGAGGGTGGACGTCAAGAGAGGGCACAACCTCTCTCTCTCCGTCGCCCATCCGTATGGGAGGGTGGACGTCAAGAGCGGGTACAACCTCTCGCTCGCGTCACCCATCCGTATGGGAGGTTGGACGTCAAGAGAGGGCACAACCTCTCTCTCTCCGTCGCCCATCCGTATGGGAGGGTGGACGTCAAGAGCGGGTACAACCTCTCGCTCGCGTCACCCATCCGTATGGGAGGTTGGACGTCAAGAGAGGGCACAACCTCTCTCTCTCCGTCGCCCATCCGTATGGGAGGGTGGACGTCAAGAGCGGGTACAACCTCTCGCTCGCGTCACCCATCCGTGTGGGAGGGTGGACGTCAAGAGAGGGCACAACCTCTCTCTCTCCGTCGCCCATCCGTATGGGAGGGTGGCCGTCAAGAGCGAGTACAACCTCTCGCTCGCGTCACCCATCCGTATGGGAGGGTGGACGTCAAGAGCGGGTACAACCTCTCTCTCTCCGTCGCCCATCCGTATGGGAGGGTCGGACGTCAAGAGCAGATACAACCTCTCTCTCTCCGTCGCCCATCCGTATGGGAGGGTGGACGTCAAGAGCGGGTACAACCTCTCGCTCCGTCGCCCATCCTTATGGGAGGGTGGACGTCAAGAGCGGGTACAAGTGAAGTTGCGAAGTCGACTCGTGGAGGTGTGGGGGTCTGTCATCAGGCGCAGATACTGTGTTTGCAGTGGCCGTGCTCGGATGAGCCCCGCCACACGTGGCGGCCATTGCTTTTGCGCTAAGAAAAGTCAGCAAAAGCGTGTAGCAGTTGGTCGGTTAGAACCCCGGCGAGGTGTTGCAGCGCCGTCCGGGACGACCGAGGTCGCACATCGGGGCCGTAGTCGCACGGTCTGGCAGCGAGCTGCCGCTGCGAGTCTGCAAGCGCACCCTTTCTTGCCCCCTCCCCTGTCTGCAGAGAGTATGACGTGCCGTACCACGTGCGCGTCAGCATCGACAACCAGCTGTTCATCGGCAAGTGGTACAGCGTGCGCACGCGCGGCCAGGAGCCGCCGCTGATCACGCTGCGGGCGGACCTGCTGGAGTGGCCCGACTGTATCGTGCTGGCGTACGACATCGAGACGACCAAGCTGCCACTCAAGTTCCCCGACGTCAAGACTGACCAGATCATGATGATCTCCTACATGGTGGACGGCCAGGTGCGGCAGCGGCGGCGAACGCGAGGCTCTCCGCCGAGGGCGGGGGGGGGGGGGGGACGAGCGCTGTCGGCGTGGTAGCTCAGTCATACATTGAAGCCTACGATGAGATCATTTCCGCCCGCTGACTGGGTCTTGTGATAGTCGACTGATGTTAAGCAATGGGGCTTAGTAAATACCATGTGGGTAAATGCCGGGTAAATACCGACTGGTGAAATAACCGGAAGTACCACGTGGCTTATTTGCGTGGGTGAATTACTACTGCGTTCGTTATTCAATGACCTTGCTGACTGATGCCAGGTTTGAGCTTTGTTGCTGACTGCGCCACCGCGTTTTAACCACTAGCCCACTAATTTTCTGTAGTCGGGATTGCCATGCATTTTGTCCTGTGACGTCCCAGCAATGTCGCTGCCGCCAGGGCTTTCTCATCACGAACCGCGAGATTGTCAGCCAGGACATCGACGACTTCGAGTACACCCCGAAGCCGGAGTTCGAGGGGCCGTTCGTCATCTTCAACGAGCCGAACGAGGCCGCTGTGATTCAGCGCTTCTTCGACCACATTCTTGAGGTGAGGGTGCTGTCGAGGCTGTCGGCCGCGGCGCCGGGCTCTCCCCCAACAGCACCCGCTGGAGCAGCTGCTCTGGCCGTCGGTGCGGCCCTGGACTCGGCGCCGCTGCCGGCGACACGTAAGGGTTTTGATTTTTTGAACATCTTGATAGCATTTCAAAGTACTGGCCTGAATTGCAAGCAACGATGCACCTTAACGTTTATTTTAAACCATCCGCTTTGTTCGGCATGTGCAACTAGGTCTTATTCCAAGCCCTGAGATTCATGACAAAAATGAGTCAATGCGTGCGCCTTCTTACCAGCGGCGGACTACCGCCCCGTGCGCCCCCCCCCCCCCCCCCCCTCCACTCACGCACAATCGGACGGGGCCTTCTCACTCGCCGCCCCCGTCCGACAGATCCGACCGCATATCTTTGTCACCTACAACGGCGACTTTTTCGACTGGCCGTTCGTCGAAGGCCGCGCCGCCGTGCACGGCCTCGACATGGCCCAGGAGATCGGCTTCGCCAAGAACAACGAGGGCATCTACGTGTCTCGTCCGAGCATACACATGGACTGCCTCTGGTCAGTGGTGGGGCGGGCTATGGGGGCGGCACCACAGTGCTTCTGCCCTTGGGTGCGGCTGTTCGGGCAGGAAACACTTGCGAGGACAAGTGCGACGCGCAGCCGGCCGCCAAGCGTTCAAAAGAACTGGCTTAGGGCAGCAAAGCATAAGCAAATGAAATTTTGGAAATCTCCCTGGAAAGGCATGATCATTCCACGGGAGCTTCAGTATGGCCGCTGCACACGCTGACGCTCTTTGGAAGGGTGCAGGACCAGAAGTAAGGAGAGATCATACCCGCCCATCCGCGCACCTGTGCTCTGACGGGCGGATTCTCACCTGCCGTGGGCAAGAGGCGTACGTTGTGTGTATTCTGGCTTGGTCTCCGTTTTGCGGTGCAGTGACCCCCGAGGTGTGCAGCCTGTTCTCAACGGATTCCCGTTCTCACAAGGTGTGAGACCGCAGCCTGTTCTCAACGGATTCCACGTGCTGGCCTCGGCTGACCCAGGCGGTGGCGGAGGTTCTGTCGAGGCGTCCGCGACAGTCGATCGTGCTCAATCTGACATCAGTGTCGCTGCACTCCCCCCCCCCTCCCCCTACTGGGGTACTAGCCTGACGCCGGTCTCAGTGCAGCCGGGCGTCCTCGGTCCGTGCGCAGCCGGGCGTGCTCGGTCCTTATGTAGTCGGGTGTCCTCGGTCCGTATGTAGCCGGGTGTCCTCGATCTGTGTGTAGCCGGATGTCCTCGGTCCGTATGTAGCCGGATGTCCTCGGTCCGTGTGTAGCCGGATGTCCTCGGTCCGTGTGTAGCCGGATGTCCTCGGTCCGTGCGTAGCCGGATGTCCTTGGTCCGTGCGTAGCCGGATGTCCTCGGTCCGTGCGTAGCCGGATGTCCCTGGTCCGTGCGTAGCCGGATGTCCTCGGTCCGTGCGTAGCCGGATGTCCTCGGTCCGTGTGTAGCCGGATGTCCTCGGTCCGTGCGTAGCCGGATGTCCTCGGTCCGTGTGTAGCCGGATGTCCTCGGTCCGTGCGTAGCCGGGTATCCTCGGTCCGCGCCTGACCCGCCCCTGTTTCAGCTGGGTCCGCCGCGACTCGTACCTTCCGGTCGGCTCGCAGAACCTGAAGGCCGTGGCCAAGGCCAAGCTGCGCTACGACCCGGTCGAGCTGAACCCGGAGGACATGTGCCGGATGGCCAACGAGGAGCCGCAGGTACGGCCGGCGCGCTGCCGCCCGGTGCGGGGCGCTGAGGACTGAGGGTAGACGTCGGCCCGTGGGGCTTGTGATGAGTGCTGTGCTGCGGCGACGAGCCGAAGTGTTCGCTGGCTTGGCGTGCCACCGGCTCGGAGGGCGGTCATATCGTGCGCCAGGGATGGGATGAGTCACGTGCGTAGGGGTCGGCATTAGATGCGACTGGCGTTGTGGCGTTTTGTGAGCGTTGGATGGGGCTTTGATGTAGCTGTTTGTGAGAGACCAGCCGTGACCGTCGTGTCACGTGATCTGATCTGGTGATCTCGTGTCGTGATCTCCCTGTGGCCGTCACTTTCGGACTCGTGTCGGATCGTGTCACGTGGTCTGCATGTGTTGCACCCGTGCCCCGACAGGTGCTCTCCAACTACTCCGTGTCGGACGCCGTGGCCACGTACTACCTGTACATGAAGTACGTGCACCCCTTCATATTCGCCCTCTGCACGATCCTGCCCATGGACCCGGACGAGGTGAGAGCCCTGCGCAGGAAACGACAGTCATTCGTTCTCAATAACTCATTCAGCCAGGCATCCTCGTAGTTTAGCGTCATCTCGATGGAGGTCCCAATTTCTGATGTCACTTCTTCACATTGCTGTTCTATGCTGCTTTTGGAATCAGTATCATGCCTGATGGACCGGTTCCATTGGATACGGATCTTTCCTTGCGGACGCTGGATGGTGCCCCCGCTCACTGAGTGACGCTGCCCGTATCCAGCCTCGCCTCTTTCGTTATCAACAAGGTGACTGCGGCATGTCCGGATGAATGTGCGCAACTGCCTGGTGCCGATAGTCTGCTCGAACATGCCTTGCCGACTGCCCTGTGCTCGTCGGTAATCCGGCCGCTCGCCTGCTGATCGTGCCTCGGGCCTCTCCCCCAGGTGCTGCGCAAGGGCTCCGGCACGCTGTGCGAGGCCCTGCTCATGGTGGAGGCCTTCAAGGTCAACATCATCTTCCCCAACAAGCAGGAGACGGTGCACAACAAGATCACCGAGGACGGCCACGTGCTCGACAGCGAGACATACGTGGGCGGCCACGTGGAGGCCATCGAGTCGGGCGTGTTCCGCGCAGACATCCCCTGCCGGTTCCGCATGGTGAGTGCTCGCCGCGCGGCGGTGTCCCCTCCCGCCTCCTCGTGGTGCCGGCGGCGTGGGCGGTGGCGTTGGGAGTGGATGGGCGCCCGGCCGTGGCGCATCGCCAGGGTCGTCTGTGGATATGCGAGCGGGCGGCTACGCGCGCGCTTTTGGTGAAGCCCGCGGGGGCCGATGGTGCAATTCAGTGAAGTTGTGAAGCGTGGACTGGGAATGCAGTACAGCCTGAAGAATGCCGCGTGTGTGACATGCGGAGGGAGTGTTCGCTCATGTCCTCTACGCCAGGGTGAGGGGTAGAGCGAGTTAGAAACCGCCGGCTATAGTGATTGTAGGCCGGAGTTGCCCGCAGTCTGACGCGTACAGGGTCCAGGCGGCCGATCAGCCGGCCCGCCTGGCCGTCTGGCCATCTGGCCGGTACTACGGTTCATGTGATGACCGCCGTGTGGCGTCCAGCCAGAAGCCCGGATCTCTAGCATCGGGTGACGTTCGGTGTGGTCCAACGTTGGCAGGTCCCCGAGGCGTTCCAGAAGCTGCTGGAGAACGCCGACGCCACGCTGCGCTTCGCCATCGAGGTGGAGGAGAAGATCCCCATAGAGCAGGTAGGGCGCGACGTCTGTTACCTGTCGTCTGTTGTCCGTTGTCTTTTGTTCGTCGTCTGTCTTCTGTCGTCTGTTGTCTGTCGTCTGTTCTCCGTCGTCTGTTGTCCGTCGTCTTTTGTTCGTCGTCTGTCTTCTGTCCTCTGTTGTCTGTCGTCTGTTGTCTGTCGTCTGTTGTCCGTCGTCTGTTGTCCGTCGTCTGTCTTCTGTCGTCTGTTGTCTGCTGGCTATTGACCGCTGTCTGTCGTCTGTCGTTTGTTGTCTGTCTTGTGTTGTCTGTCGCCTGTTGTCTGCTGTCTGTCGTCTGTTGCCTGCTGTCCGTCGTCTGCTGTCTGTTGTGTGCTGCCTGTCGCCTGTTGCCTGTTGTCTGTCGTCTGCTGTCTGTCGTTGATTGCCTGCTACCTGTCGCCTGTTGTCTGTTGTTTGCGGTCTGTCGTACGTCGCCTGCCATCACTGCTGTCACGGGTCGCGACAGTCCTGACAGTGAACTGGCTACATTCTGCATACCATGTGACCCTATTCAGGGTGTGGCAGCTGTGTTTGGGCTCAGTGTGTTACCAGACACCGCATGGCGCGTCGTCAGTGAGACAAGTTGTGCCCCCAATCCTGGTTTTGGTGGAAGGGGATCAGTTTGTATGGGCCCCTTGTCCGCTGCCAAGGTTTGGCTCTTGGGCATCACCACGGCTGTTGGTATGGCTCGGATAAGATCCATCTGTAAGCCTTCAAGGACGCGGTACTTGATCTGACGTTGGCAGGTCACCAACTACGAGGAGGTGCTGTCAGAGGTCAAGGCCAAGCTGGAAGACCTGCGCGACACGCCTAATCGCCTGGAGAACCCCATCATCTACCACCTGGACGTGGGTAAGTACCACCTAGAGAATCACTTCACCTACGTGTAGACGCGGAGGGGTGCCGCTTAGAGAATCACATCGTCTACCACCTAGACGTGGATAGGTAGTCCCTTCAGTATCTATCAGCCACCATCTGGATTGGGTATAAGTTTTCGGGAGAGCGGGTAATGAGCGGGACGATGGACAGTTTTATTGCGCTTGCTTTTTTGAGACGTAAGTGCGGCTGTTTCTGAAATGTTAGCACGATCGGCTTGCTCGAAAAATAGCTTTGTATGATAACTTTCCGTTTCGTGGCAGCCTGTTCCCCTTGCCATTAAGTGTGTTGGCTGGTCTATCGGTCCGTCCGCTGGAGCTGGACAGCCCGCCAGCGCCACTAATAAGCTGGTCCATATGCCGCTTGTCCGTTGCCTGATCCGGCCGGTCGGGGCTCAGTAGCTGTGTCAGTGGGGGACGTGAGCGCCACGGCGCCTCCTGCGGTCCTCCGTCGGCTCGCGTCGAACCCCGCTCGTCGGTCTGGGCGCCGCCACAGCCGCCGCTGCACGGCGACCCCGGGCCTCAGAACTCTGATCCGGCACCGGAGGCCCGGCGGCGGCGCCGGCGACCGCCCGCCGTCAGTGGAACACGGTGTGGCCGGGCGTCTCGACGTCGGCGCCAGGCTGGTGGCCCTCCCAGCGCCGGCGAGCCGCCTCGTACCGCTCGTAGAAGGCCACCTTGTCGGCCGGCGCGCCCGGCAGCGGCCGGTACGGCGGCGCGAAGAGGCGCGGGATGACGCCCGTCACCGGGTGCTCCTTGGCCACGTGCGGTTCGGTCGGCTCGTACAGCGGGTGTTTGAACTTGTCGCCGAACTGGATCCGTTTCTGGCGGCGGGATGAGAGCGGGTCGGCACGCGGGCGCGCTGTAGTCGTGTGTAGCCGGTTTGAGGGGCGTGGGTTGTCTTTATTCCCTGAGCTGTGACGCGCTCTGTGTCCATGTGGCAGACGGCCTTAACGGCAGGGATGTATTCGGCGGCGATCTTGAGGGGTCTCGTTGACAGCCCTAGTATAGTTCCAGGAAAGTTTTAATTTAGGCATCTTTGTATTTGAACTATTAGTCCGGATTCTCAAGCGGATTTGGATTGCCAAGAAAACCAGGAACAGGTTGTTATTGTTACTGAGTTGCGGGGGGAGGGGCGATTGGTCGGCTCGAGGAAACTGCGTATAAAGCCGCTCGTGGTCAATCCCTGCGATCCCCGCGATCCCGCCACACACGCGATCACAGCAGGAGGCCGTGGCCGGCTGGGCCGTACCTACCTCGGTGGTTTCGGTGAACGGCGGGTCGGTGACGGCCTTGTACGAGGGCCCCTGGTCCATGCTCGGGTAGCGACAGCTGAAGTTGATGGTGCGCAGCTTGTGCAGCGTGTCGCTCCACTCCTGCTCGACGGTGGGCGGCGGCGGCGGCGGCGGGCCCGGGTTCACCTTGTCGTCGGTGTGCTGCAGGTACCAGACCATCGCCGCGTCCCACTCGGACGTGGTGCGGGGCAGCCGGTGGCCATGCGTGAAACAGTTCGTCATGCTGGTCGATGCGATGTGTCGCGGTGGCGTCCAATACGCGCTCGGTGGTTCGGTTGCGGATGGCGCCCGGCTACGCCAGGATTTTGAATCTAGTCATTTCGGAGGGCTGAAGGTTTTCACTCGAATGTTAGACTTGGGTCAGTATCGTTTAGCCCGTGGATGTCGCTTTGCCATTTCGATGTGGTGGACAAACTCCTGTTGGAATTTACCTGCAAGGTCTCGTGCAATGAGACTAAGGAGTGCTCCGTGTTGCTAGATGTAATTTCGTCGGGTTTATGTGGTTGCGCATGGCTTTTGTCAGGTATCTGCATATTTTGCTAGGAATCCAGTGTCGGCGTCTTCATGAAACAGCACATATCTACGTGGATTTTGCGCGTATGCACCAGATAGTTTTAAAAGCCGTCTGGCGAAACCCAAGATTCCGCGCGTGCCGTGTGCAGTAACGCGGATGTGGTGACGCATCGGGGCGTGACCATTTGTTAACGAACGTCTGCCACTGTCATTAGGTACGAGTTTTGGCGACATTCACATCTCCCCGTGAGCGCTTTGTCTTACACATTGTGGTATTCGACATCATCTGGAGATTTGCATTTAGGTTTGATGAGCGGTTTCGTGATCTAGCGTTATGGAGAAACAAAGTAATTTATTTTTCTGCTGTCTTCTGCTATTTTCGATAAAGGCACGTTGCCGAAATATCAGCACCATCCTTGTCTCCATTCTCCTGGTTTTTCTCCGAGGAATGAGGGTATTACTACTGGCTGCTGTCTTACTTATATTTGCATCGACGACCTGTTGTTTTAGTGCCCAGTATGGAATATCGAAGATTGTAACGCTCGTAGCAAAAAAAGCAAAACAAAAAGCATGGGACATTATGCTGTAAGACTTGTGTAATGGTACAAGTTTCTCCACGCATATCTGTTGCCACGAGCCTGGACATCCTTGTCGAGTCCAGTACCGTCGTGTTGGTGAAGTATCACATGTTCGCGGAAAAGGAATAGATGGCATTTTAGCCTCCACTAGTAAACGTCAGATCCTGCACCTGGCCACGTGTAGTCACGCGGGTGCCACAACGCATGCCCAGCGTCACGCTAGCACGCGACTCAGAGCGGTCACATCCAGTGCCTGACCGTCGGCCTGACGTGACGGCCCTGCCCGGCAGGCGCCATGTACCCGAACATCATCCTGACCAACCGGCTGCAGCCGTCGGCCATGGTGGACGAGGCCACGTGCGCCGCGTGCGACTTCAACGCCCCGGGCGCGCGCTGCCAGCGCACCATGAGCTGGATGTGGCGTGGCGAGGTGATGCCGGCCAAACGCAACGAGCTACAGCACATCCGGCAGCAGCTGGAGATGGAGAGGTAGGGCAGCCGGGCAGGTGCGGCGATGGAGCGGCAGCTGGGCTTGGGAAGGTGGGGCAACAGCTGGAGATGGAGAGGTGGGGCAGCCGGGCCAGGTGCAGCGCTGGAGCAGCTGGAGATGGAAAGTGGGCGGGGCACAGGTTGTGGATGGCGAGATGGGAGGGTTGTAGCGATGGGGGATGGCGGGGCTCTGGTCTCGCACGGAGCTTTGGTGGCGCGGCGGCAGGAGGTCCGGGAGGGGGGATATGTACGGGTTTGTGGTGTGCGGATGCAGGGGACAGATTCATCATTTAAGTGGGATGTGCGATTGAAAGATGTGTGATACGTTGTTTGTAAAGGCTCAACCTTAGTGCCATTCTCTCTAAAGTGGTTAGCAAACCCGATTGCGCGATAGGTTCATTTTGGTCAGAAGTTCGTCCTGCCCTGTCTCCGCCCCCTGAGTGCAGATGCAGCGGAGAACGTGGCCTGAACGTGACCCTCATGACACCCACTGTGCCCATTGCCCCGCCCTCTCCCGTGCGAGTCCCTATGCACGGCTGCGTGAGCCGCGCCATCCTGCGGCAGGTTCCCGCCGTACGTGGCGGCCGGCGCCGAGCCGACGCCCGGCGGCAAGGACCGGGCCTTCCATCAGCTGACGCGCGACGAACAGGCCGCCATCGAGAAGAAGCGGCTCTCCGAGTACTGCCGGCGCGCCTATAAGAAGGTCCGTGATAGTGCTGAGGCGCGCGGCTCCGCGAGCTGCCTTAGGCCCGTCTGTCTCCTCTAGAGACAGTGGCCACAACAGTGGCGCCGAATCAAGGGCTGAGGGCTGTTTTCTGACGTCACAAAGGCACCTGTCGCCTGAAGGTTGGAGGGTTTCTCTCGCAGACCAGAGCCAAGGTCTGAGGAGAGAGAGGAGAGAGAGAGAGAGAGAGAGAGAGCTAGAGAGAGAGACGAGGATGAGAGAGAGAGAGAGGAGCAGGGAAGAAGGGAGAGGGAGAAGGGAGAGGGAGAGGGAGAGGGAGAGGAGAGGGAGAGGGAGGGAGAGGGAGAGGGAGAAAGGGAGAGAGGAGAGGGAGGAGGAGAGGGAGAGGGGAGGGAGGAGCAGGGAGGGAGTTAGGGAGAGGGAAGAGGGAGAGAGGGAGAGGGAAGAGGGAGAGAGAGGAGAGAAGGGCGGTTGTGATTGCTGCTTGATTGACTGAACATCTAATTACTGAAAGAGGGGGCCCCTAGAGAAAAGAAGGCGGGCGGCCAGCCAGCCAGCCAGCCAGCTGATCTACGACCAACATTCCGCCCAGAGCGTAGCATTCAGGTGACTGGTTCAGAAGACTTCAAACCGCCAGTCCGGCCGGATACAGTCCCTGACAGTGCGCTGTGCCGCAGGTGCACATCACACGAATGGAGGAGCGGCGCACCACCATCTGCCAGAGAGAGAACAGCTTTTACGTGGACACCGTGCGCGCCTTCCGCGACCGTCGCTACGAGTACAAGGCGCTCAACAAGGTAGGGCGGCGTCCGTGAGGCGGGCCGGGTGGAGGGGAAGCGCTGGTACCCTGCCGGGATGCGGGTGACTGCCGGTCTCCGTGTGGGGGAGTGGTGTCAGGAGCAGAGGTCAAGGGCCAGTCAGAGATTTGCCGTGCCCTTCCGGGGTCGGCGTCGGGGGTTTTGTCCGTTAATTTTGGTGGAGACGATGACGCTGGTGGATATTTGCAACCCGGACCGCCGTTTTGCTGTTGTGTGCCGCTGGCTCGGCTTGGGCCCCTGGACATCTTGAACGCAATAGTTCCCACCGTGTCGGCACTCATCTGGCCCGCGGTACACTGCTGGTACAGCGTCGCGCCCGCCCGGCGCGCTCTCGGTCCACACTCCGTCGCGGAGTGGGACCCTCCGCCCCAGTGTGGCGTCCTTGTCAATCTCCGACTCTGCTGGTGTTGGTCGCCCTTCGCGGCTGACGTCCTCGTCCCCCCGCCAGGTGGCGCTGACCGGCTGACCGGCCCTCCCTTTGCAGGCCGCCAAGAAACAGCTGTCTGAGGCGCAGGCGTCTGGCGACGTCGGCGCCATCAAGTCCAGCAACAGCCGCGTGGTGCTGTACGACTCGCTCCAGCTGGCCCACAAGTGCATCCTCAACTCGTTCTACGGCTACGTGATGCGGAAGGGGTGCGTGTTCCGTCTGTGGCTCGGAAATACCTCCGGCATATTGTGTTGGCTGCGTCAGCCGTCACTGCGCCGTCCTTGCTCTCGCTATGTGGTGGTCACACTATTGTGATGCCCGGGGGGGGGGGGGGGGGGGGGGGGGGGGACGGGACGTTGTGTCCGGAGCACACGACTGCTGTGAAGAGGACTCTGTAACTCAGTCACCGATGTTCCCGCCCGGTGACGTGCCATACCCGGCCACTGTGTGCGGGGTTGTGAGGTATCCATCCGCGGAGGTGAACGCTATGCGCTGTGTCCGGCTGTCCGCTGTGTGCGAGGTTGTGAGGTATCCATCCGCGGAAGGGAGCGCTATGCGCTGTGTCCGGCTGTCCGCTGTGTGCGGGGCTGAGGTGTCCATCCGCGGAGGTGAGCGCTATGCGCCGTGTCCGGCTGTCTGCTGTGTGCGGGGCTGTGAGGTGTCCAGCCGCGGAAGTGAACGCTGTGCGCTGTGTCCGGCTGCCCGCTGTGTGTGTGCGCGTGTGTGTGTGATGCCCGTGTCTCGCTGCGCGGCAGCGCTCGCTGGCACAGCATGGAGATGGCGGGGATCGTGTGCTACACGGGCGCCGGCCTCATCACCCGAGCGAGGGAAATCATCGAACAGGTCAGTCGGAGGTCAGGCGGCAGGTCAGGCTCAGGTCAGTCAGGTGGCATGGTTGGGCGAAGTCGCTGAAGTCGTAAGATTTGACGCGCCTCCGGCAAGAAAGTGAGGTAATGGAGGGGTCAGTCCCAGGTCACATAGTCGTGTCAGGTCAGGTTATACGGTCAGGTCAGGTCAGATCAGTAAATATAGAGCGTCTGCTCAGACGATGTTACTATCAAACGGCCTGGCGAGATAATTTTCGGATCGACTGGAACAGGTCAGACGATGTCGTGTCATGTCGCGTGCCCCCCCCCCCCCCCCTCTCCCCTTGCAGCTGGGATCGTGTCGCTCAAAAGATCGTTGACGTGTCATTGTCCGTCACGTGCCGCGTTATGCGTCTCGTGGTTCTCTGTCATGCTCACTGAGGGCGGAGGGTACGGACTCCTGGCCGGAGACCACGCCCGCTCCAGCGGGGGCTCCGAGCGGTGTGTGCCGGACGCTGGCCGGCAACCAGCGGGGGCTCCGAGCGGTGTGTGCCGGACGCTGGCCGCACCGGCGGGGTCTCCGAGCGGTGTGTGCCGGACGCTGGCCGCACCAGGGGGGGCTCCGGGCGGTGTGTGCCGGACGCTGGCCGCACCAGCGGGGGCCCCGAGCGGTGTGTGCCGGACGCTGGCCGCACCTGCGGGGGCTCCGAGCGGTGTGTGCTGGACGCTGGCGGCACCAGCGGGGGCTCCGAGCGGTGTGTGCCGGACGCTGGCAGCACCAGCGGGGGCTCCGAGCGGTGTGTGCCGGACGCTGGCGGTGCGTCGGCAGGTGGGTCGGCCGCTGGAGCTGGACACGGACGGCATCTGGTGCATCCTGCCCGCCTCCTTCCCGGAGAACTACGTCATCAAGACCACCAACGCCAAGAAGGCCAAGGTCACCGTCAGCTTCCCCAACGCCATCCTCAACTTGATGGTGAAGGTGAGCCGTGAGTCGCGAGCTGTGAAGTCCTGTGATGAGGGGCAGACGGGAAGATGCTGGTTCGTGCTATCGCCGACCCGTCGTTTACCGCGGATGTTGGATATTTGGTAAACACCGATGTATTGCATTTCCGTGTATGGCCTTTGTTTTCATTACACTGAAGGGGCGCTGCATTCTGCGCGCTTTGATGAGTTGTTAATTCATCGCACGCTGAGCGGCACTTCGTCGCGCTCTTACCGAATCCCTCGCCCGATTTCAGCCGACAAATTTGCCCGATTTTCCACTTCGGTGTTTTAGCGGGGCAAGTGTGCGATCTGCCATGGCTTTTACGAGGTTTGTTATTAACTACCTAATGACAATTTCATACGGCATGGAGTCGGCTAAGGCGCTCGTTTTGGGTTGCAGCCCAGCGCCGTTGGATCGCTAAACCCGATGCCTACGCCAGGCCACCGTAGGCTGTGGGTAGATCGCACGTACCAGATGTAATTGGTTGTGCGCTGGATGTAATTGATTGTGCGCTGGATGTAACGGCGGTGTCCGGCTTCCAGGACCACTTCACCAACGATCAGTACCACGACCTGGCGGACCCGGAGACTCTCAAATACACCGTGCGTGATGAGAACTCCATCTTTTTCGAGGTGCGTACACCCTCGTGACGACCTCCACACACCCTTCCTCCCGTCGTTCGGCACTCCGCTGTGGCCGGACTGACCTGTCGCCGTGTCTCCGAACTATTTGCCTCCGCTCTTAAGCCGGCAACGTTGGTGGAACCCTGATGAAAGACTCCGCGAGGAAGCGGCCTATTCCCCCGTGGAAACGCCGAGAACCCCTTCAGACTTGACGAAGGAATGCTAATTGTGTCTATAATGCCACCAGCATCATATGCTTCATAATGTTCTCAATACGCTTATCTACATGCATATCCGCTGGAGAGAACTAACTGGACCCATTTCTCAGTAGGGAGTGGGGACGCTTTAACGGCTTTGTTGTTACGTGTGGCGGTAAACAACGGCCGTACTGGCGGGATGTTGGCGCGTTGTTGGCATGCATCCAGGTCGACGCCATTTAAGAGTCTCTGTCCCTTTCAGGTGGACGGCCCTTACCAGGCCATGGTGCTTCCCGCCTCGAAAGAGGAGGGCAAGAAGCTCAAGAAGCGGTACGCCGTGTTCAACTTTGACGGCTCGCTGGCGGAACTGAAGGGGTAAGCTGTCACCGTTACCAGCGGCCTGGTAAACGGTCGGCCCGCAGTGCAGCCGGCCGGATTACCGCAGTGAGTGCACATCGGCAAACATTGGCTGTGAACAGTGCGACCTACGTTTAAAGTTCATCAGAGTTCGCTTCATCGCCGGAGCATGTTCGCCTTCGCCGCGTATTATTTCTCGAATGGCGCCCATTGTGCCACCGAGAAATCGCCAAGCCACGCCATCAGCGTTACACCCGGCCAAGCTGCCGTCCTCTCGGCCGCCGCCGCGGCGCGGTTCTTCCGTCCGCGGTGGCGCGCGGGCCGTGTCACGGCCGCCCGTCACCGCCGGAAGTTCGAGGTCCGCGGTGGCGCGCGGGCCGTGTCACGGCTGCCCGTCACCGCCGCAGGTTCGAGGTGAAACGGCGCGGGGAGCTGCAGCTCATCAAGATCTTCCAGTCATCCGTGTTCGAAGCGTTCCTCAAGGGCTCCACGCTGGAGCAGGTGTACGAGAGCGTGGCCAAGATCGCCGACTACTGGCTGGACGTGCTCTACAGCAAGGTGCGGGGCGCCGACACCGGCGACCGTCGCCGCGCGGGGGGGGGGGGGCGTCGAGCGGGGCGGGGACAGGCTGGATTTGGCCGTCGACGAGGCGTGTTCGTACGTCATGTGAGAGGGTCGTGTATGGAGATGCGGAGCTGAATCGGCGCGTCTGAGGCGTGCTCTCTTCTGCAGCGTTCTGCAATGACAGTCCGTCGTGGTCTCCCTGTATATAAGCCATTTGATGGCCTCAATCGACAGAAATTACCGAACCGTGGAGCCATAGTTTTCCGGTAGAGAGCATGGCCTCACTTAACGTCGGTCGGTGCTCCTAGCTCCCATCGGGGCAGACGGTTTCCGCCGTGAGACCATACCTTCGCGCGACCGTGCGTGACACCTTCCAGGGGCAGAAAAGTCCCCGGCACAACGCTGCGTGGCCTCCGCAAGGGGCAACATGCCCTCACGTAACTTCCATGACATTGGCCAGAGCAACTATGGCCTCATGTAGCCCTTCATCGCCTCGGCAAGGGAGTAAACATGCTTTCGCGTGATCCTCTTTACCGTCTATTAGACACTCGCATGTGTCCGTCTGGCGTTTGACGCCCGTCACCAGGGCCGAGCACGTCCTCACTCGGCCGTCGCTGCTGCCCGCCAGCCCACCACCGCAGCCTCGCCTGACCCACTGACGTGCACGGCCAGGGGGCGAACATGCCGGACTCGGAGCTGTTCGAGCTGATCGCCGAGAACCGCAGCATGTCGCGCAGTCTGGCCGACTACGGCGCGCAGAAGTCCACCTCGATCAGCACGGCCCGGCGCCTGGCCGAGTTCCTCGGCGATCAGATCGTCAAGGACGCCGGCCTGTCGTGCCAGTACATCATCTCCAAGAAGCCAGAGGGCGCGCCAGTGACGGAGAGGTAGGTCCCCGGGCACTGGCGACGATGCTGGGCCGGTGTGCCATGGGGGAGGAGGGCTGGGGATTGGTGCTCTCTTCATGAGGTGTGCTCTTTGCAGTGTTCACCAGCTCTGTCATTGGAGAACCAACTGCATTGTTGCGGGCAGTGATTATATCGCCCATGCTTTTCACTGGCAGGATTGATCCCATCCAGTCTTTGTAGGAGAAAAGCAAATGCACTTCCCCAGGTGGGACTGAGCGCTCCGCATTTGCAGAAGTGGTATGACTCCAGTGTACCGCTGGATGGCCCGCATCAGCACGAATCAGCATGATATAAGTCGCAGCTTAGGTGGCGCAGTCATTTGGAGGAACGTGTCATTTCTCTTAGCCCTTTTAGTCCAGTTTTAATCAGAACAGCGTCGTGAGCCCGCTCCTGGCTGTGGGCGGGTGTCTCCCATTCAAAGGCAGGCGCCGGTGGCCGCCCCGTCCGGTCCCGCAGCCGTCGGCCCCCGGCGGCGGTACCGCTGACCTCACCGCCGGGCCAGGACGGTACCGCTGACCTCACCGCCGGGCCAGGGCGGTGCCGCTGACCTCGCCGCCGGGCCAGGACGGTACCGCTGACCTCGCCGTAGGGCCAGGGCGGTACCGCTGACCTCGCCGCCGGGCCAGGACGGTACCGCTGACCTCGCCGCCGGGCCAGGACGGTACCGCTGACCTCGCCGCCGGGCCAGGACGGTACTGCTGACCTCGCCGCCGGGCCAGGACGGTACCGCTGACCTCGCCGCCGGGCCAGGGCGGTGCCGCTGACCTCGCCGCGGGCCAGGGCGGTGCCGCTGACTTCGCCGCCGGGCCAGGGCGGTGCCGCTGTCGTCGCCGCGGGGCCAGGGCGGTGCCGCTGACCTCGCCGCGGGGCCAGGGCGGTGCCGCTGACCTCGCCACCGGGCCAGGGCGGCGCCGGCGGTACCGCTGACCTCGCTGCCGGGCCAGGGCGGTCCCGTTGGCCATCTTCCAGGCCGAGCCGAGTGTGAAGCGGCACTACTTGCGCCGCTGGCTCAAGGACTCGTCGCTCAAGGACTTCGACATCCGCCAGATCCTCGACTGGAGCTACTACATCGAGCGGCTGGGCGGCACCATTCAGAAGATCATCACGATCCCGGCGGCGCTGCAGGGGGTGCGTGCTGCCGTTCGCTGGCGGGGGGTGCTCGCCACGAGAGCCCGCTAGAACTGGTTTGGGTGCAACCCTTCGTTGCGCTCTGATGTCTGGGCAGGTGGCACTGTTTCCTATGGCAGGAATGCGGGAGTGACTGGGACCGGTGCGATTGCTGTGGACTGGAGACGGTGTGCTCTGCGCTGCTGGTCGAGTTTGGGGATGCCTTGCGCGGGGCGTTGAGAGTGGGGTGTCGCGGGCTCTCGTGCGCTGTTTGGCGCAGCGCACCAGGAAGGCAGCTGGAAGCACTGTGGTCCATCATGCTGGCGTGGCAGCGGCGAGGTACGCCTCGCGGCCGGCTGTGACTCACCTGTGAGCCGGCGGGCAGGGGTCACGGTCCCAGGACCTGGCTGACGCCACACCGCCCACCCGCCGCCAGGTGCCCAACCCCGTGCCGCGCGTGCAGCACCCGGACTGGCTGCACAAGCGCATGGTCGAGAAGAACGACACGCTGAAGCAGCGCAAGATCTCGGACATGTTCCAGGCGGGCGCCAAGCCGGCCGCGCCGCCGCCGCCGGCCGCCGATCGCACGGTAACGACTCGCCGCCCACGCCACGTACCGGTCGATGGCGCGGGATGCTGTCATCGTCATCACGTGATGATGGTGGCGGCTGCCGTGCGCCGCGCTCTCTCGCCGAGCAGTGCGCGCTCGGCGAGAATCGGTGTGTGGCTCCGTCCCGCTCCTCCGCTCAGAGGCTGTAGATCGAGTAGAATCGTGTGCCGATGGCCAGCTTCCAGGCCGAGCCCAGCGCCGCAGACCATCCTGGCACGACGGCCCGGTAGCAAACTTGGCTGTTTTCGGTGTGGTTTATATCTGTGTCCATTCATTCTGCCCGCAAAGAATCAATTGAGTCTCGTCTTCACACGGGCGAACTGGCGGCCGGCGTCCATCTGCCACTGCCGTTTGTTCTGCTGCAAACGTCACGCACCACCAGGCGCACGCGGCCGCAGCGGCTCGTAACACACGCAGCGCGACAGGACACGGGCCGTGATCGGGGGCGCCATCTGCCGGCAGGAGGCGGACGGTGCCTGCGGCGACATCGAGGACCTGGCCTCGCCGGCCGGGCCTTCCGGCCGCCGCCCGATGGTCACCAAGCGGAAGCGACCCACTTCTGGTGCCGAGGAGGCGGCCGTCCTGAACAAGGGCTGGCGCGAGGCCCTCGGCTCGCCGCCGCCGCTCGGCGAGGACAAGGTCAGGGCGGGTCGACCGCGTGGGGCGGGGTGGGGGGAGGGGTGGCGGGGCCAGGGAAGGGCTGCAGCTGCGACATGTCACGGGGGCGGGAAGTGCTACGTGTTTGCTATCTAGGCTGGGAGGCAGCTTCTTCGGCGGGTGGTTTCGTGGTCGTCATGGCGACAAACTCAGTGGTGCCGCGTAGAGTGATAGCGCCCGGAGGAAAACACCAAGCTCTTACATTCTGCTGAGCTGCGCTGGGTCACCACTGATCCTGTGAACACTGCGCTGGGTCACCACTGATCCCGTGAACACTGCGATGGGTCACCACTGATCCCGTGAACACTGCGCTGGGCCACCACTGATCCCGTGAACACTGCGCTGGGCCACCATTGATCCCGTGAACACTGCGCTGGGCCACCATTGATCCCGTGAACACTGCGCTGGGTCACCACTGATCCCGTGAACACTGCGCTGGGTCACCACTGATCCCGTGAACACTGCGATGGGTCACCACTGATCCCGTGAACACTGCGCTGGGCCACCACTGATCCCGTGAACACTGCGCTGGGCCACCATTGATCCCGTGAACACTGCGCTGGGCCACCATTGATCCCGTGAACACTGCGCTGGGTCACCACTGATCCCGTGAACACTGCCTCCCAGCTGCCACCGCGGCGGCCGCGAGCGGTCTGTCCGCACGCGGACGCGGCCGGAGCTGTCAATGATCAGCTTGTTGTCGTTTGTAAGTACGCGAGCCGTGAGTGTTGTTACAGACAAGCGGCATTAGCTGTGACGCGGTCTTACCTAAGTCATCAGCACAATTTGCTACCTCAATGTGGCACAGCTGCACTAACCGTGACCTGATAGCGAAAAAAGATGGAGAGTTGAGGGCTTCTCGCGCAGGATTTGCGATGTCCATTCGTGATTTGCCCCGCTTTTGCCCTACAGCAAAGCATCCTGCGCTACCCTGTGACCTTGACCTGCCGCCGCTATTCGGCAGGACGCGATGCTGGCTTGGCTGGCGTTCCATAAGCGCAAGTGGCGCCACCAGCGGTTGCAGCGCGCCGAGCGGCAGAAGCGCGCGCGCACGGCCGGCGCTGAGCTGCCGCTGGTGACGTCGGGCGGCGGCGGGGGGCCGCGGGCCGACACGCTCGGGGGCTTCCTGCGGCGCGCCCAGCGCACCGTGCTCGACACACCCTGGCAGGTCATCCAGGTCAGTCGCGTGCCGGCGGGTCACGCGGGTTGGCCATGTTCGGGCGGGCCGTCCGCGGTAGTCGGGCCTGGAGAGCATCATCCAGGTCTGTCGGGCATTGACGGGCCGCCCGGTTCCGTCGGGCCTGGTCAGACATGTCAGGTGCGGTGCGCCAGGTACTGACCGGTCACCCAGGTCGGTTGGGCGCTGGAGGTCAGGCTGATGGGACGCTCGCTGGGAACGGATAAGGTCGGTACGTGTTGGCCGGGTCGGCATAATCCGGATGGTTCGAGTTCGGGCTGGCGCAGGTCCAGCTCATGCGTGCACGGCTTTGCTGGGACCTGGTGGGCGTCGTGAGATCCTGGGGAGCTTTCTCACCGCCCCTTGGGGACTTACATGCACGGTCACGCCAGCTGACCGGATCTCCATCAACGTGCGGCGCTCCGGCTCATCGGCGCCGGTGGAGGAGGCGTACGCCGCCGCTGACCGTGTCTGCGCGCTCCCGGCCGGCAGGTGGTGCCCACGAACAAATCAGGCACGTTCCGGCTCTGGTGTTTGGTTGGTGGTGACCTCCATCTGATCAAGGTGGGTGCCGCCAGGTGGCCGCAGTTGCGCGTGTGGCCGGATACGTGTCGGAGTTGAGGCTGTGTTTCCGCTGACCTACCTGTGTGGTGGTCTCTGCCCCAGCTTTGCGTTGTATTGACGTCCTGTGATCACAATAGCACCCGTCTTGCGCAGTGCCAGTAGCACCCTTGACATGCCGTGACCCCGGTAACACAGATAACCTCACGTGATCTCTGCAACGCTCCTGACCGAGGTGACCTCCGCGACCCACTGTGACCTTGACGATATACGTGTCGTTCCGTGACCCTTGGAGAGCCCTTAGCTTATGTGATCCCGGTAACAGCCCTGACCATCCGTGACCTGCCGGCCGCAGCTGGTGGTGCCACGCATCTTCTACGTGAACCAGCGCTCAGCCAAGCCCAGCAGCGAGGGTGACCTGTGGCGGCGCTGCGTCAAGACGCTGCCCCGCTCGCACCAGGCGTACCACATGTACGAGTACGCGGTGCCCGAGGAGCTGTACCGGCAGCACAGCAGGTGGGCATCGAGGTCTGGGGTGCTGCTGGTCTCTGAGCAGAGGCGCCGGCTGGAGTTGAAGTGTGAAGCCGGAGAGCAGTGGCATCGGTGCGAACTGACTGTGTGTGGTTAATGAGGCGCATGTCCTATCCTCACATGTGACGAGTGATAGGTAGCAGTGAATGTGATAGGTAGTGATGGTGATTAGTACATCACATGTGCGTGACGTTGGCACTTAACATTGCTGACTCGAGCTACGAGCGGAGCAGCGGCGGGTGCTGGGCGGCAGATAACGTGTTGAGACCCAGGGTCGGCTGGACGCGCGTCCCCGTGCGCCTCCTCTGCCTCGAGCGTGCAGCCCACCCTGTTCTGACAGTGAGCTGATGGCCAACCTGTCGGCGCCCGACATCGAGGGCATCTACGAGACGCAGACGCCGGCCCTGTTCCGCATCATGTCCCAGCTCGGCTGCGTGGTCCAGGTACGTCGGTGGCGCCGCCCCACGGTCGCGGTCGGTACTAACGCGTGGGCGTCAGGCGGACTCAGGCGCTGTGGGAAGGCAGCAGTCTTTACATTGTACGAGTAGGCTTTCGGGTAAACACCTCATGTGTAAATGACCGTGTTATGAGCGTCTGGTTCGCACTGTCAAACATGTGCGGGCAGTGGGGAGGTCATTCGTTTTCCTGCCCCCGCATTCCAGGCTTATATAGATCCTAGCTAGCTGGCTGGGGTGCCAGAAATTCTGTAGCCTCCAGCAGTGGGTGTTTTGCAGTGAGGCCCTGCGCTCCGTTCGATGTTTGGTCCGTGTTTTCTGGTACCCTGGCTCGGCTCCTGGCTTGTATATGTGCACGGGTTTTCGGAGTTTGTGACTATCCTGCCGCTGATGTGATGTGGTCTTTGGGTGCATATACACAGCGTTTGTCAATCGATGTCACTGCGGCCGTCTTGCGATATTTCCTCAAACGTCAGAAAGCAGCCCCGCTGACCCGGGCCAACACCATCCTCAGCGCACCGGCCTGCCAGCGAGGAATCGCGCCACGTGCGCGGTGTCCGCTGACCGCCGCCCGTCCCCAGGTGGACCCGCGCTTCCACCGCCAGCTGTCGGCCTCCGAGACGGACACGTTCGAGCTGAACCAGCTGATGTTCAAGCCGGTGAACCAGTACCGGTACCTGGAGCCGGGCAGCTGCCGCCACCTGTTCCTGTACCAGTACCGCAGCGGGCCGCGGGCCATGCTCGGCCTCTTCCTCGTGCCGGCCGGGCGCGCGCTGGTCGTCGTCGTCAACACAGAGCGCTCCAACCAGATGCCCAACCTGCGCACGCTGTACGCGGCGGAGCGCGACGGCAAGTGAGTGACGGCGGCTAGACGAAGCTGCTGCGCTAGCGGCCGGCTTTCGGCGATGTTTAGGCCAGCCGGGCGCGTTCACTTTCTTGCTGATGGTGATTATGTGCTGTATGTGGTGCGGAGGCGGAAGAACCCTGCCTAGCCGATTAAGTGTACCGTGTCACGTACCGTGATGGTATCGGAGGTCTTGGTGGCATTGCTGCTGTATGCGGACTCTGCCGTATGCAAGTGCAGGTGCCTGCGCTTGTGCTCGCTGTAGACCGGGCACTGATCTGACGCATGCGCTGCAGTTATATTGTATGGAAACCAGTCAGCAAAAGTCGAAGCGTTGGCTGGGTGTTTGTGCTCTCCGCGTCCTCCGTGCTGCCACGTCGCGTCACACCGACAGCTCTCGGTGACCTCCGGCCACAGACACATCCCGGGCAGCGCCGCGGTTGATGCGGTCCGCCTGTCCCCCCCCCCCCCCTCCCCCCTTGCCGCGCCGGTGCCCGGCCCTCTGACGCCACCGTGGCGGCAGGCTGGCGCGCGGCGCGGCGGCCGACGCGCTGCCGCCGGAGGAGCTCAGCTTCCAGATCCAGCTGGAGACGTCCGAGCACGCGGCGTGCCGCAGGCTGACGCGCGCCCTGCAGGCCTACAAGGACGAGAAGCGGGGGCCCACCGTGATCGCCGTCCAATCGCAGCTCGGTAGGCGCCGCGCCGCCGGTGGCTGCGGCCACGTGTGTGTCATGTGGGGGGCCTGGCGGTGTTCTGCCGCGCGGGGTTTGGCTGTCGTATTCAAGTAGCGCATTCGCTTGCGCGCTGTTTGGGGAGCAGGGGTTGAATAGTGATGGGAAATGGCAAAAGCGGGCAATTACTCGCGATAGTTCGAAAGCTCTCTGCGCAGGCACAAACTGTTCGTGCGTATATGTAATTCACGGACGTCCTGATTTATTGCACATGAGGCGCGATGCCTTCAAACCAAGGCATAAACCCCGGCTGCCACACGGTGCCCTCACCGCCTTAAACAACGCTGGACTGCTCCGTTAATGCGTCACAATGGCCGGCTCTCTGCGTCGCGTGGATGTCGACGCTCCGCCGGTGACCTCCGAGCGTCCGCTCTGATCTCCGCCGGTGACCTCCGAGCGCCCACTCTGACCTCCGCCGGTGACCTCCGGGCGCCCGCTGTGACCTCCGCCTGTGACCTCCGAGCGCCCGCTCTGACCTCCGCCGGTGACCTCCTAGCGCCCGCTGCGTCCTGCCGGTGACCTCCGAGCGCCCGCTGTGACCTCTGCCGGTGACCTCCGGGCGCCCGCTGTGACCTCCGCCGGTGACCTCCGAGCGCCCGCTGTGACCTCTGCCGGTGACCTCCGGGCGCCCGCTGTGAACTCCGCCGGTGACCTCCGAGCGCCCGCTGTGACCTCTGCCGGTGACCTCCGAGCGCCCGCTCTGACCTCCGCTTGCGCTCCGCAGAGTTCGGCTCGCTGTACGCGCAGCTGCCGATCCTGGGCGACTTCCCGCTGGTGCCGGTGCACGTGTGCGACTCGGACCAGCTGTTCCAGAGCCTGGAGTGGCAGCGGGCCGGCGCGCGCGCCATGCTGCGGCACTTCCTCAACTCGCCGCTCATCCTGGAGACGACCGCCGAGCAGTGCAGGTTCGTCAGGGCGGGGTCGGCTGGGTGGCTGGTGTCGGTGGCGGAGGCCGGGTGGGTAGTGATGGAGCGGTGCTCGGGAGTTTCAAGGTCTGGGGATCAGGTGCGGTCCAAAGCCTGCATGGTCTGATCGTGCTCCACTGAATGGATGAGTTGCTATGGCCAGCTCCGCTCGTATGCGTCTGGGTGATGCCTGTCTCTGTTCTGGTAGTCTGTTTCGATTATTTCTGTGTGGGTCACCCGGTCTGAGTTCCTGGATCGCGCACACTTCGCGTCATGTGAACTGCCCTGTATCAAAATGTATCGCGCTGTTCCGTTTTCACGCCACGGTCCCATCGTCCAAGGTGGATTGGAGTGTTGCCAGCAGTTCAAGTCCCCTGCTGTGGGCCGTCAGGTATTTCCACGTGCCAGTCGGTAACCTGCCGGCCGACGCCACCCTGTTCGGCGAGGATCTCTTCTACTCCCGGCACCTCCGCAAGCACAACCACGTGCTGTGGGCGTCCCCCACTGAGCGGCCGGACCTCGGCGGCAAGGAGGCCGACGACCAGAGGTCAGTCATGCTGTCTGGGTCAGGTCGGGTCAGGTCAGACCAGGTCGGACGAGGTCAGGTTAAGTTGGACCAGATCGGACGAGGTCAGGTCAAGTCAGAACAGATCAGAATAGGTCGGGTCAGGTCAGACCAGATCGGACGCGGTCAGGTCAGGTCAGACCAGCTCGGACGAGGTCAGGTCAAGTCAGAACAGATCAGACTGGGTCGGGTCAGGCCAGACCAGGTCGGACGAGGTCAGGTCAAGTCAGAGCAGATCAGACCAGGTCAGGTCAAGTCAGACTAGTTGGCAGCAGTGGTTGTGTGAGATCCGTCCGAGTGTCTCATCACCGTTTGCATGGATGTTTGCTGCTCTGGGTTTTCAGTGCTTCGCTGCGCGTGTGACCTCAGACGGACCTTGACCACTCCGATGTACCTTCCGACGGAGACCACTGTTTTGTTCTCGTTGACGTTGAGTCCTCGTTAAACTCGACCGCTCCCAGCCCCTCCTGGCTGTGGCCACTTTGGGGGCCATCTGAACGTTACCACCTTAAGGTCAGTGACCGTGACCACTTCGGACCCTGCCGACCGTGAGCACACTCGAGATCTGAACGTGACGATCATGGTTTCTCTGAGCGTGGCTTTTTCGAGCTCCCCCCCCCCCCCCCTCCCTCTTGATCATGACAGCTCGGGAGCCCCTCCGGCTGTAATCACTCGATTTCCGTCTGACTGTGACCACTCGGAGCTCCCTCTTACTGCCCACTGAGGGCTCCCTCTGACCGTGACCACTCAGAGCTCCCTCTGACTAACCATCCCAAGGTTCCTCTGACCATAACCACCCAGCTCCCTCTGACCGTGACCACTGAGGGCTCCCTCTGACTGTGACCATCCCAAGGTTCCTCTGACCATAACCACCCAGCTACCTCTGACTGTGACCACTGAGGGCTCCCTCTGGCTGTGACCATCACAAGGTTCCTCTGACCATAACCACCTGAGGGCTCCCTCTGACTGACCATCACAAGGTTCCTCTGACCATAACCACCCAGCTACCTCTGACTGTGACCACTGAGGGCTCCCTCTGACTGTGACCATTACAAGGTTCCTCTGACCATAACCACCCAGCTACCTCTGACTGTGACCACTGAGGGCTCCCTCTGACTGTGACCATCACAAGGTTCCTCTGACCATAACCACCCAGCTACCTCTGGCTGTGACCACTGAGGGCTCCCTCTGACTGTGGCCATCCCAAGGTTCCTCTGACCATAACCACCCAGCTACCTCTGACTGTGGCCACTGAGGGCTCCCTCTGACTGTGACCATCACAAGGTTCCTCTGACCATAACCACCCAGCTACCTCTGACCATGACCACTGAGGGCTCCCTCTGACTGTAACCATCCCAAGGTTCCTCTGACCATAACCACCCAGCTACCTCTGACCATAACCACCCAGCTACCTCTGGCCGTGACCACTGAGGGCTCCCTCTGACTGTGGCCATCCCAAGGTTCCTCTGACCATAACCACCCAGCTGCCTCTGACCATAACTACCCAGCTACCTCTGACTGTGACCACTGAGGGCTCCCTCTGACTGTGACCATCCCAAGGTTCCTCTGACCATAACCACCCAGCTACCTCTGACTGTGACCACTGAGGGCTCCTTCTGACTGTGGCCATCCCAAGGTCCCTCTGACTATAACCACCCAGCTACCTCTGACTGTGACCACTGAGGACTCCTTCTGACTGTGACCATCCCAAGGTTCCTCTGACCATGACCACCCAGCTACCTCTGACTGTGACCACTGAGGGCTCCCTCTGACTGTAACCATCCTAAGGTTCCTCTGACGATAACCACCCAGCTACCTCTGACTGTGACCACTGAGGACTCCCTCTGACTGTGACCATCCCAAGGTTCCTCTGACCATAACCACCCAGCTCCCTCTGACCGTGACCACTCAGAGCTCCCTCTGACTGGCCATCCCAAGGTTCCTCTGACCATAACCACCCAGCTACCTCTGACTGTGACCACTGAGGGCTCCCTCTGACTGTGGCCATCCAAGGTTCCTCTGACCATAACCACCCAGCTACCTCTGACTGTGACCACTGAGGACTCCCTTTGACTGTGACCATCCCAAGGTTCCTCTGACCATAACCACCCAGCTCCCTCTGACCGGGACCACTCAGAGCTCCCTCTGACTGTGGCCATCCCAAGGTTCCTCTGACCATAACCACCCAGCTACCCCTGACTGTGACCACTGAGGGCTCCCTCTGACTGTGACCATCCCAAGGTCCCTCTGACCATAACCACCCAGCTACCTCTGACTGTGACCACTGAGGACTCCTTCTGACTGTGACCATCCCAAGGTTCCTCTGACCATGACCACCCAGCTACCTCTGACTGTGACCACTGAGGGCTCCCTCTGACTGTAACCATCCCAAGGTTCCTCTGACGATAACCACCCAGCTACCTCTGACTGTGACCACTGAGGACTCCCTCTGACTGTGACCATCCCAAGGTTCCTCTGACCATAACCACCCAGCTCCCTCTGACCGTGACCACTCAGAGCTCCCTCTGACTGGCCATCCCAAGGTTCCTCTGACCATAACCACCCAGCTACCTCTGACTGTGACCACTGAGGGCTCCCTCTGACTGTGGCCATCCCAAGGTTCCTCTGACCATAACCACCCAGCTACCTCTGACTGTGACCACTGAGGGCTCCCTCTGACTGTGACCATCCCAAGGTTCCTCTGACCATAACCACCCAGCTCCCTCTGACCGTGACCACTCAGAGCTCCCTCTGACTGTGGCCATCCCAAGGTTCCTCTGACCATAACCACCCAGCTACCTCTGACTGTGACCACTGAGGGCTCCCTCTGACTGTGACCATCCCAAGGTTCCTCTGACCATAACCACCCAGCTACCTCTGACCATGACCACTGAGGACTCCCTCTGACTGTGACCATCCCAAGGTTCCTCTGACCATAACCACCCAGCTACCTCTGACTGTGACCACTGAGGGCTCCCTCTGACTGTGACCATCCCAAGGTTCCTCTGACCATAACCACCCAGCTACCTCTGACCATGACCACTGAGAACTCCCTCTGACTGTGACCATCCCAAGGTTCCTCTGACCATAACCACCCAGCTACCTCTGACCATGACCACTGAGGACTCCCTCTGACTGTGACCATCCCAAGGTTCCTCTGACCATAACCACCCAGCTACCTCTGACTGTGACCACTGAGGGCTCCTTCTGACTGTGACCATCACAAGGTTCCTCTGACCATAACCACCCAGCTACCTCTGACCGTGACCATTGAGGACTCCCTCTGACTGTGACCATCCCAAGGTTCCTCTGACCATAACCACCCAGCTACCTCTGACTGACCACTGAGGGCTCCTTCTGACTGTGACCATCACAAGGTTCCTCTGACCATAACCACCCAGCTACCTCTGATCATGACCACTGAGGACTCCCTCTGACTGTGACCATCCCAAGGTTCCTCTGACCATAACCACCCAGCTACCTCTGACTGTGACCACTGAGGACTCCCTCTGACTGTGACCATCCCTAGGTTCCTCTGACCATAACCACCCAGCTACCTCTGGCCGTGACCACTGAGGGCTCCCTCTGACTGTGGCCATCCCAAGGTTCCTCTGACCATAACCACCCAGCTCCCTCTGACCATAACTACCCAGCTACCTCTGGCTGTGACCACTGAGGGCTCCCTCTGACTGTAACCATCCCAAGGTTCCTCTGACCATAACCGCCCAGCTACCTCTGACTGTGACCACTGAGGGCTCCCTCTGACTGTAACCATCCCAAGGTTCCTCTGACCATAACCGCCCAGCTACCTCTGACCGTGACCACTGAGGGCTCCCTCTGACTGTGGCCATCCCAAGGTTCCTCTGACCATAACCACCCAGCTACCTCTGACTGTGACCACTGAGGGCTCCTTCTGACTGTGACCATCCCAAGGTTCCTCTGACCATAACCACCCAGCTACCTCTGACTGTGACCACTGAGGGCTCCTTCTGACTGTGACCATCACAAGGTTCCTCTGACCATAACCACCCAGCTACCTCTGACCATGACCACTGAGGGCTCCCTCTGACTGTGACCATCCCAAGGTTCCTCTGACCATAACCACCCAGCTCCCTCTGACCATAACCACCCAGCTACCTCTGGCCGTGACCACTCAGAGCTCCCTCTGACTGTGGCCATCCCAAAGTTCCTCTGACCATAACCATCCAGCTACCTCTGGCCGTGACCACTTAGAGCTCCCTCTGACTGTGGCCATCCCAAGGTTCCTCTGACCATAACCACCCAGCTACCTCTGACTGTGACCACTGAGGGCTCTCTCTGACTGTGGCCATTCCAAGGTTCCTCTGACCACAACCACCCAGCAACCTCTGACTGTGACCACTCAGAGCTCCCTCTGACTGTGACCATCCCAAGGTTCCTCTGACCATAACCACCCAGCTCCCTCTGACCGTGACCACTGAGGGCTCCCTCTGACTGTGACCATCACAAGGTTCCTCTGACCATAACCACCCAGCTACCTCTGGCCGTGACCACTCAGAGCTCCCTCTGACTGTGACCATCCTAAGGTTCCTCTGACCATAACCACCCAGCTCCCTCTGACCGTGACCACTGAGGGCTCCCTCTGACTGTGACCATCACAAGGTTCCTCTGACCATAACCACCCAGCTCCCTCTGACCATAACCACCCAGCTCCCTCTGACCATAACCACCCAGCTCCCTCTGACCATAACCACCCAGCTACCTCTGACCGTGACCATTGAGGACTCCTTCTGACTGTGACCATCCCAAGGTTCCTCTGACCATAACCACCCAGCTACCTCTGACTGTGACCACTGAGGGCTCCCTCTGACTGTGACCATCCCAAGGTTCCTCTGACCATAACCACCCAGCTACCTCTGACTGTGACCACTCAGAGCTCCCTCTGACTGCGACCATCCCAAGGTTCCTCTGATCATAACCACCCAGCTACCTTTGACTGTGACCACTGAGGGCTCCCTCTGACCGTGACCACTGAGGGCTCCCTCTGACCGTGACTATTCAGAGCTCCTTCAGACGGTGACCACTCAGAGGCCCCCTGACGGTGACCTCTGTGTCGCAGTCCCCGTGTCTGACCCCTGGCTCCGCCCCGCAGACTGCTGATTGAGGGCGAGGAGCTGACCAGGGCCGACATCAACTGTCCGGGTGCCTACGAGACCATCTGCATCGAACTGGACGTGGACAGCCTGGCGCCCACCGCCATCCTCCAGTCGCAGCACATCAGCGAGGCCGAAGGTCGGTGTGACGTCACAGGGGGCACGCGATCGCCAGGTGACGCCCGACCGGCGAGGACCTGCTCGCTCGGGTCCGGACAGTGCTCTCCGAAGGGCGCGGAGCGGCTCGGCAGGGAGCAGCAGACGTGTGCCGGCTGGCTGTGGTTTGGCTTCGCCTGATGACTGTGTGTTGTTTATGGCTGCATGCCTATGATGCATTGATATGGCAAATTAAGATCGCTCGATGCATTCTGCGAGCACCTCTCTAGTGAGCTTGATCCTGCGTTCTCAGTGATATATGCCGAGTGTTGTGTCTGCACCTGCCGCTACACGCCGTGCCGAGACATGCAATGGCGTTCGCCGCCATCTCGGAACGGTATCGTTGCGTTCGACACCATCTGTTGCGTTGTGAATCCTGCGGGCGTCTTACCTACTGCACTGCTGACACTGCCGCGTCGCTACCCATTGCGTGATAAGCTCTGCCATTACCGCAGTATCGCGCTTCAGGAGCGCGTGAACCCAGCTCCCTTCCGTCGTGCCCCTGAGTCCGCTTCCGCGCCCGACCTGCCGCCCCGCCTGACTCCGCCGCTGGCCGGGCAGGCATCAGCTCGTACGTGGCGTTCGACGCGGCGCCGCAGGTGTCGCTGGAGGAGATGCTGGCCGGCCAGACGCCGCAGATGGCCTCCTACGACCAGTCCGTGCTCAGCTACGGCGCCTTCAAGGTGGGGCACGGTTGCAGGGCCGGACGCCTCTTCTGGCGCCCCACTGTTAAAGACTACTCAGTGCACCCCTGCTCCAGCCTGTTCTTGACTGAGCCGTGTGCTCTTCTCTTCCTTGCTGCTGCTGTAGTGCTCATGTGGCCGTATTTTGCGGTGTTGCCGACGGCCCAGCTGTCCCTGGCGTTGGTGCCCTCGATGGAGCCCTTCATGCACGTGACTGATGGACAGCGGCCGCCCTCCGAGCCGCCGCCTGGCCTGACGGCGTGCCCCTGACCCGAGATGGTCTGGGCTGGACCTACACGGCCTGAATTGTGACCTGGGTATGACATGTGATCCGTGACCTGAGGTGACCGGGGCGCATCCGTGACCCTCCCCCCCCCCCCAGGTGCTGCGCTCCATGGTGCACTCGCTGCTGCTGGACGTCACTCAGCACCAGAACGTGTTCGCCGACTACCAGATGGTGCACCTCTACAGGTAGGACGGCTATGGGCATAGTACCACCTGAAAAGGCGACCTTATTGTCACGTTTGCACGCCTATGGCAGCACTGTATGATTCGTGTTCAGTATACCTGTAGATTCAGTGGTGGTAGGCCACCCTCAGAAGCACGTTGTGTCGTGCTTTGGTTGCCGAGCTATCGCCGGGCGCCGTCCAGCTCGCTCTGACAGCCGGCTGTGCGTGATAGGTGGCTGCGCAGCCCGCACGCGCTCCTCTACGACCCGGCCCTCAAGAAGATCCTGCACGTGGTCATGAAGAAGCTGTTCCTGCAGGTCAGACTGGCCCGTCGCGCTGTGGCCGCCCCGTCAGCGTGTGATTCTGTCGCGTCGCAGCTCGCCGTGTGGAGCTTCTACCGCCTCGGACTGGCCTGCGCTGTCCTGAGGCTATGTGTGGCCGGTCAGCGGTCGGATGTGTTCCATCATGGGATATGTCCTGTGTGCATGGCTGTAACCTTTAGTATCATGCCTTGTGTGATATTGTGTGGCTCCCCAGGTTCCGTTGGGGTGCTAGAAACATATTTGTGGCGTTACCCCGACAGGAGGCCGCACGCCTGGCAGGGATGCCGAAAGCTGGTGTGCGGCCCTCCATTTCACGTAGCAGCATTTCAGTGTTGCTGCGATACGGTATCGCGCATGAAGCCCACCTCCCGCTCTCATCGTCGACCGAGCCGGCAATCCGCGCCGCGAGCCCACCCGTGGCGTGGCCGGGACGCCGCCGCCGCCACGGCGCGCCTCTGACCGCTCCGCCCCTCCTCCGCGCAGCTGATCTCCGAGCTGCAGCGGCTGGGGGCCGTCATCGTGTACGCCAATTTCAACAAGGTGGTGGTGTGCACCAAGAAGCGGACGGTGTCGGACGCGCTGGCCTACATGGACTACGTGCTGGCGTCGGTGCGCGGCAAGGAGCTGTTCCAGGGCATGGAGATATCGTACACCCACTGCTGGGAGTACCTGCTCTGGCTCGATCCGGTGAGGAGGCGCCCAGGCTGGTGCTGACGGGGCAGACTGGTGACGGTGAGACGTACCGGTGCGTGGTGAGAGGCTGACTGGTGCTGACGGGGCAGACTGGTGACGGTGAGAAGTGCCGGGACGTGGAGAGAGGCCAACTGGGGCTGACGGAACAGACTGGTGACGGTGAGAAGTGCCGGTGCGTGGGGGAGGCTGACTGAGTCTGACGGGGCACGGGTGGTGCAAAGAAGTACCCGTGTTGGTGCCGGTTGGGTAGTGGTCGCGATGAAGAAACATGCTGGAACTGTGCGTACTGTTGGCGAGACAAACATTGTGATGCTGATTGGCCGGGCTTGGCGTAGAGGACAGCAGTCGCACACAATCAATCAGCTGCGGTCGACGAACGTTTTTACCGCTGTGTCCGGATGGCGCACTATGCGAATGAATGTCTTGCCTAGAAGGATGGTTACCTTGGTTTTACCCTGCCTTCCGTCCCTGGCGCAGAGTCAGTTACTTTATTTCGCGTGAACTCACCACAGTCCCTCGCCGTATAAATGTCCTACTGAAGGTTCGCTCCGCTCTTCCAAAGCCGAACCTGCGCCCTTCTCCCGTTGTCAGTGACGTGCGCGCTTGCGCTCAGCGTGCGTCCGGTCTGTTCACGCTCGCGCTCAGCGTGCGTCCGGTCTGTTCACGCTCGCGCTCAGCGTGCGTCCGGTCTGTTCACGCTCGCGCTCAGCGTGCGTCCGGTCTGTTCACGCTCGCGCTCAGCGTGCGTCCGGTCTGTTCACGCTCGCGCTCAGTGTGCGTCCGGTCTGTTCACGCGGACGTCCGCTGTGTGCTTGTCCGTCAAGACCAATGACGTTGATTACGGTTTTTTGGGTTGTAACGAATTTGGGCCTTCTTGTTAGTTATGCGGAGGTTTTCTGCCTTCCTTTTTGCATTAAGTCTTTTTGTTGGTGTTACGGTTAGGTGTGTCAAGTTTCACCGAGTATGGTATTGTACACTGATCCCCCGGCGTGTCCGTCGTCACTCATGCTGACGGCTCGATGTCCGCTGCAGGCCAACTACGGTGGCGTGCGCGGCGCGCTGCCCAAGCCGGCGGGCACCTCCGGCTCGGGGGATGCCCAGCAGCCGGGCGCGCCGCAGGACGCCGGCGTGGCCGAGCCCGACGACGAGGACGAGGGGGTGGGTGACGCCGCGGTGGCCGCGCGCTGCGCCGGCCGCAACATTGGCACTCGGCTCGCGCGTGTTTCGTTCGAGGGGCCTGGACGTGCCGCGTTGCGTACTTGTTTTTGTTAAGATTAATGTACGAAATTATAGCCGTTTGGATGCTAAGCAAAATCTGGCAGAGGTTTTTCGTAAAGATGAATTGTATTTCGTCCAGTTTCGTTGCAAATTGCCGGCGATCTGTGAGTCACATCGCGGTGTCGGAGCTGCGTCCTCGGCCCCGGCCTCCCGGTGACACGCTGCCGCCGTCATCCCGCAGCTGTCCGTCGAGATGTGCTGGAACATGAGCAACTACCTGCCGGAGGAGGGCGCCTGCCAGGTCAACTTCAGCACCATCATCGCCAGCTACATCTCGGCCGTGTACCAGCAGATAGCGGCGGAGGTGGACGCCTTCACCCCAGGTCGGAGGTCGTGGTGCTCCGGGTCTCTGCATCTTGGGGTCACTGCAGTCATGCGTTCGTCTTCTTGATCTCTATATTTGTTGTAGGTTTCTGCAGTGTTAGAGTGAATCATGGAATTATGGACCATGACTTACGATGGCGTACGGTGTAAGTCACGCCCCGTACGGTGCCAGGCTGCAACGACGTGGTTTTGAAAGGTGCGTGGATCGGGGGCCTTTCAACCGTGACCCGCGCCGCCTGCTCGGAGTGGGGGGTGACGCGGTGACCTGACCTCAGGTCGTACGCCGGTGCGGCGGCGCGTCTCCAGCCAGCCGCAGGCCAAGTTCCAGGACGCGGTCGACTTCGCCAAGAACCTCATCACGGGCGAGATGGCGCAGAAGCTGTTCATGTGAGTCGGTCAGCTGGCTTGCTAGAATTACAGGCGCCTCGCGGACTAACCGCCAGTGCGAGCGATCGCCTCTGTAGTGTCACGTGGCCGCTGACGTGTCCGAGTAGCCGCCGTCTCTCGCCTCTGTCGTCGCATCGCTCCGAAACACTGCCGAGCGTGTGCTCTGAACCCGCCGCTCACGGTCCGCCGTCCCGGGCCGCCAGGATCACGCAGAAGATGCAGAAGAAGCTGCACACGACGCGCGGCTCGGAGCCGAACGCGCTGTTCCCGCAGCTGACCGGCTCTCACCTGCTCATGCAGAACCCGGCGCTCGAGTTCGTCAAGGCCATCTGCAAGGGTACCGGCTCGCCTGCCTGCTCGCCTCCGTTCCACGCTCTGCCCGCCTCCTGTGCCCTGCCTGGCGTCCTCCCTCTCGTGCTCTGTCTGGCGTCCTCCCTCCCGCGTTCTGCACGGCTTCCTTCCGCAGTCTGTCCGGCTTCCTCCCGCGCTCTGCTCGGTTTCCTCTTTCTCGTGCTCGGCCAGGCGTCCTCCCTCCCGCGCTCTGTCCGGCTTCCCCACGCTCTGCTTGGCTTCCTCCCCTGCACTCTGTCCAGCTTCCTCCCGCACTCTGTCTAGCTTCCTCCCGTATTTGACCTTGTGGAGCGATGTTTGCATATTCCTGTCATGACCCGGCACTATGAAGCTATCACACATTTGCACGCGTAACTTACACCCCGCATGAAGAACAAGGAGGTTAGCTAAGAGCTAATGGTGAAGCCTGCGACCGCTTTGCATCACGTGCTTGACAGTCGCATGCATCACGAGCTTATCAGTGCCCACGTCACCACTGTCGCCATGCCGCCCAGCAGTGAGCGAATTAATCATGCCATGTGGCTAATGTCGAACGCACACAGTGCGTGCTATATTCTGCAGCCGTCCCTCCTGACATGGCTGACGGAGGAGTGCTGTTACCCACCCTGACCGGGTGTCGGCGCTGCGGCAGGTGCTGTCGCTGGACCAGCACGTGGAGGCGGAGGTGAGCAAGCTGCGCCGCGACCTGCTGAAGCTGATCGGGGTCGGCGAGTTCGCCGCCGAAGCCGAGTGGGTTGACCCGTGCGTCTCGCACGTGCTGCCCGAGGTCATCTGCAAGGCCTGCAACCACTGCCGCGACGTCGACCTCTGCCAGGACACGCACGTGGGCGAGGCGGGCGGCAGGTGAGGCGCCAAGGCCAGGAGCGGGGCAGGGGGCGGGGTGGCCAGGAGCGCGGAATGGGCTTGGCTGGCCAGCAGCAGGAAGGGGCGGGGTGGCCAGGAGCGCGGAATGGGCTTGGCTGGCCAGCAGCAGGAAGGGGCGGGGTGGCCAGGAGCGCGGAATGGGCTTGGCTGGCCAGCAGCAGGAAGGGGCGGGGTGGTCAGGAGCGCGGAATGGGCTTGGCTGGCCAGCAGCAGGAAGGGGCGGGGTGGTCAGGAGCGGGGTCGTGGACGCGTTGGCACAGACGTAACGGCACAGATTGTGGACGGGATAGAGTGCCAGGCCTGGGGCACCGCCATTGTTCACTGACGGATGAGGGTTTTTTGCACACCACATTTTTGGGGTATGTGGTCAGCTTTTTTCAGGTCAGCCGTACTTTTTCTTGCTTTGAACGGCTTTGTTCTCGGCCTTGCTTAAGACAGTCGCAATATGGCATACTCCTGCGTCAAAAGGGTGCAAACGGGTGGCAGGGCGACGGCACAACACGTTTCCAAAGACGGGGTTTCCAAAGAACATGACGGGGCACAACATATTTCACTGAATGCCATCTCCTGGCGTCGGATATTGTGCGCTGCCTGTTGGTGGTCATCTACTACTAACAACAGCAACCTGCTGAGCAATGACACCGCCGGGGTACCGATGCCGCGTCTGCCACAAGAGGCCGTGGCCGTCGGCTTCCCTCACGTGGCGTCCCTCCCGCCCGCCAGGCCGTGCTGGAAGTGTCCGCTGTGCGACACACCTTACGACCAGGACGAGGTCGAGCACGCGCTGCTCTCTGTCATGCAGCGCAAGCTCGTGTCGTTCGTCCTCCAGGATCTGCAGTGTGTCAAGTGCAAACAGGTCTGTCTCCGATCCCGTTCGTTATGGCATATGTACATGGTTTCCAATGTCGCAGCAGCTATGCTATGCGTTACGTACGTTGGTGTCATGCATGGCTCGAAGCCCCTGGGTCATACATTTAATGGCATTGTTCTTTTCTGTATTCTGCTCGGCACTGTTTTTTTCAGTCCCCTCATGTCCACCGAAACCGAAACTCGGTTCCTGATGTTCGATTGGTTTCCTGGGGCCCGTCTCGCTGTGTCTCATTGGTCATCTGCCCAACCTGGGCGTAATGCGGGGTGCTGATTGGTCGCCACCCCAACCGGGCCTGGTTTCACGATGCTTCATTGGTCATCACCCCAACCAGCCCCTTTGATCGACGCTGATTGGTCGTGATTCGGTGGCTCGGTCGGCAGGTAAAGCAACTGAACATGTCGGCCATCTGCGAGTGCGCCGGCGAGTACCGCGGCCTCGACAGCCGTTCGGACCTGCTCAGTCGTCTGCGCGTGTTCCGCAACATCGCCACCGCCTTCAGCATGCCCATCCTCGGCGACCATGTCGCCTGGCTTCTACGGCAGAGTGGCGCTGGCTAGCGGTCACCTAGAGAACTACTGGTGCGACCGGCAGACTGCGCCTCTGTGCGGCGTTTTGGAAATGAAATGAGGCGTCCCTGAGTTGAAATGCTGCTGGAATGTGTTGCCTGTATTAATGTGATCGTGATCAATTTATATGGATCATATAACATCGCTTTATGTGATACGGTTTTCCGTTTACTCCCGCGATGAGTGCTGGTCATCGCGCATTGTATAAAAACCCCATGCAAGGTCCTTGTGTTCTTTCGGAAGGCTTCGGCTGGCAGTAGGAAGCCTGTTCTGTGTATGGTTCGTGGCCAGGAGGGCGTGACCTCCGGCTCGGCTTGAAAAGGCACAGCAGCCAGCGGGCGGGCTTGGGCGATGCCCCCATATGCAGGGGTATGGACACCCCTCAGGGAACACCGTGACGTAATCGAAAGCTTTTATTTTTCGTCCGTCTTATTTCTCGTATAAAACCAGCCGGTCATGATTTGTTACTGCTGCCAGTTTTTTTTTTCGAGAATTCCGCGTCTCCTGGCGGCAATAGTATTGCGGCCGACCCTCGTGTGCCTTATGCCTGCTGACGGTGTGCCGTGTTTGCACGTGTGTGCAGCTATACGGACACCGCTACGGCCTAATTGTTGGCGCGCCCTCGAACCACCGAAATGTTCAATACGGACGCTCGAAATGACTGAAAAAGGCTGATGAAGGTTAATCATGGTTTGATCTAAAACCAACGACCTGAGAGAGAATGTTCTCTGCATACAAATACTATATATATATATATATATATATATATATATATATATATATAAACATAGTACGTATCCCAGCCTTTTGCAAAGCTCACACGCGGCTCGATGTAAGCGCCACGGCAGACATTCGTTTTGAAGGAGCAGCCACGGCCGGCGGCTGTCAGACGTCACTGGCCTGTGGTTTGGCGAGAGCAGCCACGGCCGGTGGCTGTCAGACGTCACTGGCCTGTGGTTTGGCGAGAGCAGCCACGGCCGGCGGCTGTCAGACGTCACTGGCCTGTGGTTTGGCGAGAGCAGCCACGGCCGGCGGCTGTCGGACGTCACTGGCCTGTGGTTTGGCGAGAGCAGCCACGGCCGGCGGCTGTCAGACGTCACTGGCCTGTGGTTTGGCGAGCGCTGGGGTCGGGACAACGCACGTTAACGCGTCGAGTCCACAAAAGTGAGACGCGAACGATACTGCGAGCCACGCGGGCCTGGCTCTTACCGCATGTGTATTCATGTGTAAACCGCATCAGTGTCACAGCCCAATAGCGGTGCTTACGTCCCTGGTAGATCCGTTTGGACGCTCCTGTGGCAGCACGCTCAAACTAGGGTAACTTGCAGAATTGTGTGTGCGCTCCTGCGTACCATTTTATGCATGAATTGTGGGATCCAAGCGGCAGGCGGGCCTATAATCCTTCCCACGGCGGTGGAAATCAGCTACATCGTTGTCAGTGTTGCTTGCTAGCTGATGATAATGCAACTGACAAATAATCTGGAGCGTCTTCCTCCCAGATGCGGTGCGGCACTCCTGCCCCCGTCTGCACGGTAGTCGTCAACGGTGTTTTAAGTGGAGAGGACACATGTGCAATGGAGAGGGCGCAGCTCAATTTGTTTACACAGGAACGTTTTAGCGTGCTGCGTGGGCACAATATGGCATGTTATAAATCGGGCTATGTTGACGTCTCCACCCGATTTTCAGCGTTTATTGGCACGCAAACTAATGCAAATAATATTAGTTATGGATGGTTACATGGCTCAGAGCCAGCCTGCCCGCAAATGCCACAGCTGCCCGAGGCCACAGCGGGGTGTTCTGCAAAACGAGTTTGGGGCTGAACAGTGAGACTTGGTAACAATGCACACGAAATAGCCAGCAAATGTGGTTTTCAGATCCAGCCGACTTTTTACAGTAAAGGACTCCTCCCGCGCCACTGCGCCAGCGAAAATTGGCGGGGAGCTTCATCCGCGTGTGAATCAGGTGTAGGGGTCCGTTGGCAACCTTGTCAATTTAGCTGCCGCTTTCTTTGCTTGAAACGTGTCCCGCCAAAATATTTGTAATGGTATTTCTCCCATCTGTTACACGCTGGGTCCCAATCGTCGCGTAAACGGTTCTGTGGTGGGCGTGGAGTCTGGTAAGTGGTGGTTGGTGGGTCTTGTCGGACTGCATTGCATTGCTTAAAATTGTGATAGCTGTTACTGCTCTTCAAAACTTCCAGAGATTGTTTGTTACACGGCGGGTCAGTGGAGAATCGATCTTCGTAGGGTAGGAATCGAAATTGCTTAGCAGGGTTTTGGTACAGGGTCATAAACGCCATAGGCCATGTTAGGTTCACTAGGTAATTTTCACCATAGATGGCTCCGGACGTCATTAGAAATTTCATAGGCGCTCACTGAGATTGCCTTGCCCAATGGAAAACTGGTGTCACTGTTTAAGAGCACTGGAAAGCTGGTGAGAAATTTTGGCCTGGATCAGATGGGTTTTCTTATGTTTGAAGTTAAGGCCTATCAAAATGTTCACATGTGATGTTTACCTAATTTGTTTCCAGTGAATGATTATTTGTTATCTGTTTACATTTACCATTAGCAAATAGAGCAAAATCTGACAGCTCATTATTGCTGAGGATGAGTGATGTTCCCAGTCTTGTGTGAAGGCTGATCTATATATATATATGCATGTAGGATGAATGTCAAATTATTGATAGGATGCTGTGCGTATATGCAAAAGGAGCATGGATTGGTGCTTCACAGCTTCAGGCAGGTTTGCTGGTATTAGGATGGTGACTGGTTTATGCGACATTGGCGCTTGCCAGAAAAGATGGCTTGTTTTAGTGTGATATGCAGCTTTATGAATGGAGCTGAATTATAGATATGTGCATTTGTACTTATTGTGGGAAATATTTGCATACATTTCCAAGCAGTGTCTGCAGTGTTGTGTTTTGTGTATATCAACAATGTGTCCCAATTCTAAAATGCTCATCTTGGTAATCATGTGTGTTTTATTCAATTAAGATCAGAATATTCAGTGTCACTTGGACATAAACAAATGTTTATCCACCCACACAGGCCCTTGTCATCCCTCGAGCAGTCATAGGTCCCTTTCTTCCACTGACAACTTTGACTCCTGTCCAGTCAGACAACTTGTGGCATAGGAAATTATTTGTCAGCATTTTATTAGCTTATTGCATGCTGAAAACTCCATTCTTTGAAACTGCCTGGCATCATTCAAGGTCACTTAGTCAGCACAGTTAATTCCCAAGGGATTTTGCAGATGATTTGGTTATGAAACATGATTCCAAAAATGTTGTGAATAGCTTATTGTGTTTTGCCCAATATGGACCACCTGTAATGACACTCAGCATATGGCTCCAGAAGATGTTTGAAACTATACATTGGATATGCTTAAGCTAACTTTGGTGAAATTCTGTATGAAAGTTGAAGTCATTTAATGGGTAGTCATGTCAACACATTTCAATCATTTCATATTTCAATGGATGACAGCTTATTTCCTATTTCACATGTATGGATGTGCTGGAGTCCATTGTAATTAGTTCACAACAGTCCTGAAATTGCTGAAAAGGAAATATCTTTCCCACCAGATGAGTCATTGGGATGTATTCAGAGATTGCAAATGTTACAGTTTGGAGAGGTGTCATGTGTGGTCATGGAATCTAGCAGAGTGGGGCAAAAATGCAAAACTATGCAAGTATAATGCTGCAAATTACTTATGGGCCCTGCACATTAGTGGTGTGTACCACTACAACTCTTCTTTGGTTGGGATACAGGTTACCATAGACAACTGTATGAGAAGCACTGCTAGAATGCTCTAATTTATTGAGTTCAGCTTAGTATTACTGTGAGAATGTGTGTATCAATATTTGTTAAAAAATATGGACATAATGTGCTAGTTTTTCTCTGGAATACCATGAAATGTTCCATGTTGTTGCTGTATACCAAGAGCATGAAGACCATATATTGCACAAGCATGAATATTGCCTTCACCCACTTGACCACCTTTGTGAGATCTGCTCCATTTTTGTTTGCTGGGTTGTCATTGAAGGTCCTTGTTATTTCAGATCTGAATCAGATATGTCTGCCCGAGGAAAAGGAGGTGAGATAAATTATTTGTCTTTTCTTAGATATTGTTTGCCATGCATAGTCTGTATGTGGTGTTTGATGTCATATTTTGGGGGGTTGTCTGTATATTGCATTATTCATGTAGAGGGATGATGTAGTATAATTAAAGGTAACAAGGGAGGGGCTCTTAACAGCATAACATTATGCTCAGATGTGGTTGCAAATCATGCTCAAGTCAGTTGAAAATGTTCTATGGCCTTAAATCTGGATGCCATCGGTTTCTTTTAACAAAAAGCGGCGTGGTCCATTTTATTTTGTACCCTGAGCTCAACTATGGACCCAAAAAATCACATTTCATTGTGGTTTTTTTACATTTCCAGTCACCCCAAATTTGGGGGGCAATGCAGCTGACAGGGTGCTGAGGGAGGGAGGCTTTCTACTGAGTGTAATCACATGGGGTTGAGAGAGGTCAAAAAGTGGAGCAGGATTTATGGATGGCTTTTAAAACTGGGAGTTTGTGTGATGAGCATTGATTAGGACATCTGGCTGGCCTTGAATTCTTGTTTGTTTGTCTATTTGCTCCCATGCTTGGAGTGATTCAGTGCAGTGAGTCATGCCGCAGCAAACCAAAATGGAGTGATTGTTTTTGTTCCTGTATGGTAGCATCATCCATGGTGGCTAGTTCTTTGGTAGGTATGAAATCATGCATTTGCTAATGCTGTCCAGGTTAGTGTGCGTAACAACACCGAAGCACACCGTACAGCCAAACTGACGACTGGCACTGCCTGTGCATTCCAGGCAAGTCCAAGGACAAGCAGAAGTCGCGCTCCAGTCGCGCTGGCCTGCAGTTTCCTGTTGGTCGCATCCATCGGCTGCTGCGCAAGGGCAACTATGCCGAGCGCGTGGGCGCCGGCGCCCCCGTGTACCTGGCTGCTGTGATGGAGTACCTGGCCGCCGAGGTCCTGGAACTGGCGGGAAATGCCGCCCGGGACAACAAGAAGGCCAGGTGAGTCGACGTTCAATCAACAGCAATGGTTACTTGTAGTAAGACGTGGTCTTAACGAAATTCGCATGGACCATCGTGTTCACTCAACCTTGCCATATAAGTCCGGGTGTCTTGGAAACATTTTTGGTCAACCCCAGGGGAAAATAAATCAGTTGCGTTCGTTTTGTCCTATACTGTTTGAATGATAATCGACATGCTGGTCGATTTTTGGGTCTTTCGGACGCCTCAACTGCTTAGGTCATGCAACGCTGAAAGGAGGGGGATTCAAAGAACATGCCTCGCTTAAGTCACTTATTGATGTACTCTAGTTGGTGAATGTTTCAATGGTCATTTTTCCCCAGGATCATTCCTCGTCACTTGCAACTGGCAATTCGTAATGACGAGGAGCTCAACAAGCTGCTGTCGGGCGTCACGATAGCTGAGGGTGGCGTTCTCCCCAACATCCAGGCTGTCCTGCTCCCCAAGAAAAGTGATACAAGCACGAAGGGCAGCAGCAAGGGCCAGAGTCAAGACTACTAAGTGACGACTTGCGCCGGTGATTATCGGCATTGGGGTATTCTGTGTTTTCGTTCATAAATAAATGATGTTCTTACTTTGTCGTGTAGTCGCGAGGCGTGCGAGTTAGCTTTTGCTCTGATCAGAACCCGCACGGAGCATAATTTGCCCTATAGGATATTGTGCCACAGAAGGCTATTCTTGCCAACTAACGTGGAGCTTTGGCAACGCCAGTCGGCGGGCATTCCCAGCTATGGGAGACGCGTAAAATAATTCAGTCACGGTCCTCGTTCACCCGGTTCGTTCTTTCCCCGCTGATTTCTTCAGTCATCCCGCCATTACTCGTACTCGGCTGCGCAAACATGTAAATGGAGACTGCAGACAGTTGGGCGATGGTCACATGTACCTGAGTATTGCGCGTGCACACGATGTCGGGCATCACCGATGTGGAGGTCGGTGACGTCTCGATATGTCATCTGGAGCTACCGTGTCATAGATAACGTCGCACGCTAGGGGCGGTTACCTGACCGAAGGGCCGGTGTATGTGAACAGCGGAGACCAGCGAATGAACTTGCGGTACAGACATCTTGCATTTGGGTTTGGCCATTTCCAGAAGAAGATGCTATTTTCTTATTTTGTGCTGCCTGCATTGCTAGGATTCCTTATTGAGCAGGTACCTAGCCATGCGTGGGTCCGTCAGGATGGGAGGGGGGCGGGCATGAGCGACTCCAACCAAGTGCAATCATGCGCTTCTGCCGCTGTGCGATTCTGCACCCCTGTGAGATTGGATAGCCGCCGTCCAGATCCGCAAAATCTATGATAAGCATTATGACCTCGCATGGAAAGAATCGGGGGATGAATCACGTTTGCCTCCAGGGTCCATCGGGGGACTCGTCACCGGAAGCAATTTTGCCCACCCAAGTCTAACCGGACGTCACGTTCGAGACTACACATTTCGCATCGGCCCGCCAGCTGGATTCGTCGCACGGACGCTGCATTACCCAGGCCATTATCATCACAATGCCTCCACACGTGTTTGCGCGAGATGAAGGCTGAGGCTTTCAATTCAGGTTGAGGACACGGGGTACACTGTCATGGTTTTTTAGAACCTTCCTTTCGGTAAAGGCGAAGCTTTCTGTGCTTTTTGTGCATTTCAGTCTACTTTCATCAACTTAAATGTTTTTAGTGCTGTTAGACTTGTACTTTTCTATAAGGACTTGGCAGTAAATTAAGGAACCGCTATAGCGGAGTGCAGCACTTTTAGGCAGTTTTTGCCGACAATTCCATCGGTTACCATGGGTGGCGGCTCGACGCTAGCAAGCAGACGCGAGGCCGTGTGATGGAGCCAAGGCTCACTAGAGCAGAGGCAGAGACGGTTGAGAATCGAATGGATAGTAGTGGTTGTAAATGGTATTAAGTTTGGAAACTATCGTAGGGAATGATTTTTCCAATCGTCAAGTATTACGTCGCGGCAAAGGCTGGCATGTATTATACAGTGTGTAGTACGCATGGTGCGATCTTTGCCTCGGAAAGATGCGGTAGCGGTGGAACGTTTATGGGAGGGGGTGACTCGATTTGTACCTGTGATTTGCACAATGATTGGTACCTTGTTGCTCTTCATGCACCGCCATAGACTTAGCGTTCAATGTTGCCCGAAGTTGGAGGGAGGACCTGTCCCTCTAATCCACCGCCCGCGAGAAGGACCACTGGTGTCCTGGCTCCCGGTTTGCGGTTTACAGTTCGGAAAGAGCGGACAACTCGAAAAAAAACTTTGAAAACTCGGCATCTTTTGCGCCGTTCAGGGAACGTTGAGTCGATAAGGGCCTATATCACGGTCTGGCACCAGCAGTACCGTACAGCGGGCTCCGTGTCGGCATAAGTCTGAGGGCTCACTTTCAGAGCAGCGACCAAGCTGGGGCTAGTGATTTATGCTGGTCAGGGGCCCCTGCATCTATCAGGGGCCCACAGTGCCTACCAGACGGTCCTGTGTTGGCAAAGGGTCTCGAGCCGACCAAGAGCAATGTTCAATGAGTCCCGAAGACGGACCCGGGGCTTTCCGAGACCGACGATCAAGTACCTGGTTGGAGGCCATAAGGGCCCGAATAGCTTGCTGTGTGTTACACAAAAGATCGCGGCCCGTGCGACCAGGGGCGGATCCAGAGGCACTGGACCATGGTCCCCTTGGGCCTCGAAGGGGCCCATTGACTCTAAAAGGGCCCCATAGCTGTCCGAACAGGTGTAGATTTTTACAAACCACAACAAACTTAGCGATTTCTGGATTTCCAGGCGGCCAAGAACAGTTGCAAGCGAAAGTGAAGGACCCATGAGGGGTAAAAAAAAACTTCAGTGATTGAAAAAGTTGTAAATTGGGAATTCTTAGCCTTATTGCACTGTCTAGGGGTCCTGTGCTGCGTCTGGGGACCTATACGCCTACTTGCAAGGTCGTTCCAATCGTTAAGGAGCCTTCCACGTTGCCCTTGATTTCTTTGCATTTGCTCGGAGAGCCCTGCACTGTTGCTAGGCCCCCCTGCTAGCGTGCCAGAACACTTTCCGACCAAGGGCCTTTCGACGGACTTTTTCCATTCGCCAGAAGGACTGAGTTATAGCCGAGGCCCCATATCTTAACCCGCCAGAGTATTCTTGGCCGCTCAGGGGCCCTTTACGTGTGTCTCGGTTAACCTACCGACACACTCCCGATATGCCCAGCGGCCCAGTATATTGGTCTAGGGCGCTTCCAGTTCTGTATCATTTGCTTGGGCCCTACGGTCCTGTCGGAGACCCACCTGGTAGCCTGCTTGGGCACAGTCGGTCGTTCGGGGACCCTCCGCACTGGGTCTTGGGTACTTCTCATCTGAATGGGAGGGGGGGATGCGCTCTTGTGAGGCGCCTATCTGATAACCTGCTCGGGCACATTTGAACGTTCGGAACCCTCTTCATTGGGTCTTAGGCACGTCCTATTTCAATGGGCCCCTACGCACACATCGGCGGCCCCCTCCCCCTTCCCCCTCTGTTCGCCTCCTCGGCCACACTGGACTGTTCGTGGACCCTGTAGATTGGGTCTTGGTGTTTGAATTTAGGGCCCTGCATTCCTGTCGGGGCCATCTGATAATCTGCTCGGGTACACTCCACCTTTCGGGAGCCCTTCGCACTGGGTTCTGGGCACTTCTTATTTGAGTAGAGGCCTTTACGCTCTTGTCGGCCCCCTTCTGATAAGCTGTTCGAGCACATTCCGTCATTCGAGGGCTATTTACATAGGGTCTTGAGTGCTTCCTTTTTGAATGGACGGTCCTTCGCTCTTGTTGAGAGCCTTGCCTGGTAATCTGCTCGGACACACTCGGAGCATTCGGGGGCTCCCTTCATTGGGTCTTGGGTGCTTTTTATTTAAATGGAGAGCCCTGCGCTCTTGACGGGAACCATATATGTTAACCCGCTCTGGCACACTCGATCATTCCGAGGCCCATTGGGTCTTGGGTACTTCCTGTTTGAATAGAGAGCCCTACGTTCTTGTTGGGAGCCCCATCTGTTAATTTGCTCGGGCACACCCGATCACTCGGGAGGCCTCTACATTGGGTCTTGGCCCTCTACAGCGGGAATTGTTCATTTGTTTATTTCATAGGCGTAGGAACGTTTCAAAGGGGGGGGAGGCAAGCTCAGGGCGTACTTCAGGAACTTTTTCTGGAAAACAAGCCCGATGACTGGGGGGGGGGGGGGGGGGGGGTAGAGATGGAGGTTATTCCTATTTATTCGAATGTAATGACTGATATTCTAGATCTGCATCTAGAGCTGTTTCTTTCTGGTGCACACTCGCCTATCCGACTCATCTATGTCATTCGGTAAATGACACTAGCTTCCCAAGGTTATTCTTCCATTTCAGCATTGTCTTTCCTGGGGACGCGAAATTCCACGAGGGGCTAGGCATTGTGGGTCATTGAGGAGGCATCTGTCTACGCAGGGTCGATGCCAAAATATGGCCTAAGCAAAGGCTGGCGGGATTTTGAAAGTGAATCGATGGCTCACGGCACAACAGATTTTGCATCCGCCTTCATTTCGCTGGCTGCTTTTCAAGAGATAAGACTTGTCGCAGTATTTTAGGCGGAAACGAATTCGGAAGATTGAAGCTGCCAAAAACCATGTGACAAAAGCCATAGAACTGGAGATTCTCCTTTGAGAACCAAGCCACAGAATAATGGTTCTTCTGTCACATGTTCTTTGTCTGAGCCCTGCTCCCGTCCGACGTCGGCGGCCACTGTCCTGGCCCGGCTGTCTCCGAATGTCTGGCCGCGGAATGATGGTATGGCTGCTTTGTTGCACATTTCTGGATCAGCATTGCTACTAATTGGGATGTAAAACATGTGCTGGACACCTGCAACAGTACCTTTTTACCACATTATCTTCCCTTACACCACACCAACCCAGAAAATTGGCTCCGGGAGGCTGCTTACCTTAGGTATGAATTGGCCCAACGGACATTTAATTGCCCGCCACCCAACGTAGATGACTTGATCTGCTTTTGCGTGTAGGCAGGGGGTAGCCCGAGTCTTGCTAAGAGAAACGCAGGGTTGACAAAAGCCCCTCTTATGGTGATCCCCCCCTCCCAAAAATCCCCTGATATGGTTTACTTGTTACCACGGGATACGGCTTTCTTAGTTTCAATGCCATTTTTGCGTTGTAACCAGAACAGAACCCGGAACCACTTTGGTGACAGTGCCGAGCGAGCTCTGTTTATCACATCGGCGGCTCGGGCCCCGCGCCCACACACTGTTGCTAACACCAAACTTACATACCACTACGCTCGGCTCACTCACCGCTCCGTCAATTCCGCGCACGCGCAGCTCGTACCGGTGTACCGCGTTCGCGGGCGCAGTCTCATGTCCATCTTGTCCTTCGGTGTCACATTGTACATATAGGCAGCTTCAACCACCGAACACTGTGACCGAGCCACGACAGATTTCTCCGTTCGGTGGCATCGTTCCACTGCCCCTTTTCCAGACGGTGCATGAGCTGCACGGAACCGGACCGCGAGCCCCCACCGCCGCGCGAAGTCTCCAAACGCCGCACTGCGGAAGGCTGTAGCGTTGTCTGTCAGTAGCTCCAACGG